CCATCCACCCACCCACCCACCCATCCATTCAACCATCCATCCATCCATCCATCCAACCATCCATCCATCCATCCGTCCATCCATCCATCCATCCAAACATCCATCCATCCATCCATCCGTCCATCCATCCATCCATCCATCCATCCAAAGTAGCATCCACTGAGGGGCCAGCAGGCCAGGCCCTGGGTCAAACATGGGGCCTCAGAGAAGTCTCAGATGCAGCCCCACTCTGCAGGGACACACGTGAACCAGGAGCTGTGGGCCAGTGGGACATGTGCTCTAACACACGGAGACAGCGGGCCGAGGGGAAGGGCCCCCATGTTCCTGAAGGGGGTTTCACAGAAGAAGAGTGGGGTCAGGATGCTTGAAGAGTGAGTAGATCTTTGTGCCACAGTGGGTGCAGAGACTGTCTGAGGGGCACGGGCCAGACCCACACCCTGAGGCATGGGCTTGACGGCCTTGGGAAGGGACCCGAGGCCCCTCCCGGGACAGAGGGTGCAAGGGTGCCCACTTCTTGGCTCGGGTGTGTTTCCCATCTCAGGAGTGGGCGCTGGGGCCCCTCCTTAGCTCAGAGGCACCCCCAGCTGGACTGGGATGGCAGCTGTGTCCTGGGGCTGGGTTGTATGCTGCCTGCCAGACCTCCTGGACTCCTGCTGTGCCCCTGATTAGTTGGCATTAGCAATGGCACGAGGAGCAGACGGCCCTTCCCGGTCACTCAGCACCCTCCACTCACCTGGCCAGAGCAGAGAGAGAGGGGAGCCCCGTGGCCAGGCTGCAACCTCGGGCCCCCTTGCCCTGGGCCCCTCGCCTTGGCTGTGGGCTGCACCCCCGGCAGAAGCTGTTGTGAGTCAGGCTATTTCCACATGAGCGGGCCTGGCAGAGTGGCCGTGCTAATATGGGCTGACAGCTCCTGTCTGCAGAGAGACTAGGGGCCTCCAGGGGCGATGACGGTCAGGAAGCACACCTGCCAGCTCCTCCCAGGTCCCCTACTGCCGCCAAAGCTGCTGCCCAGCTTCCCTTAGAACAGAGGGTCCTGTCTAGGTGTCCCGGGTGGAAAGGGGTGAAAAGGTTGAGTGGCCCTGTTCGGTGCCCACCTGTCATCTGTTTCCTCCTCGCTCCTGACTTTCAGTGCCCAGAGGCTGTCTCTACCTTGGTGCCACCCACCTGGTGCTCCAGGCCACACACGTCTCTCCTGAACCCCGGACCCCGAGATCTTATGAAATGACATCATATGGATGTATATCAGGCACCCTGGATGCCACATGTCCACATGGAGCTCCGCTCCGCTGACAGCCACTCCACACCTCTGGCCTCGAGCCCCAAATCTGGGAGGCGTCCCAGCTCCTCTCTTGCTCCTGCACCCCACATTCCACCCCCTTCTCAGCCCTCTGCTTCCCTCTCCTCTCTCTGCCTCCATCTCCTTTGCCCGGTGCCAGGGGAATGGAGGGCAGAGTGGAACCATCTGACTCGCCTTGGCTAATTACTGGACCGTGGACATAAAAAGAGGATTAGCCGGGGTCTTGCGGGGTCCTCCGTGACTCCCTGTCCCTGGCACGAAAGTGATAGACTCATTCTTAGTCCCTAATTAGCTAAGCGCGCCTTGGCTCCATGGCCCTGGGGCTCCCTGGGCCCCAGGGAGGACGGGAAGTGAGCTGGGGCCCAGCTCAGGAGAGGGGTGGGGGCAGGCAGCAGGGATCGGGCTGCCATTCAGGGAAGTCAGGCGGGCGGGTTTTCAGGAGCCGTTCAGAATTTTAATATCCTGGAGAACAAGGGATCTGTAATTAATTGAGCAGCAAAGCCTGGGCCCAGCGGAGCAGCCAGGCGGGGATTGTGCTGAGCCGCCTCCTGCCTCCTAGAGGCCTTTCTGATCCAGCCCCTTCTCACGGCCGCTGCCTGGCCCTCTGGGCCTGCCTCTGGCCTCTGCCCCGGCCTCCAGGGCCGCCCCTTCTTGTTTAAACCCCGGAGCCCATCGAGGGCTCAGCCTGCTTAGAAAGCTGCCGTCTGGCCTTCCCGACCGGTCACCTAGCACAGAGCCCCACACTCCTTGGACCCCAAGCAGGACCGGGGCGCCGTCTGAATGGTTGCACCCTGTGCCTTGGTCACAAGCTCCTGCCACATGGAGGGTCAAGTCAGCTCAAGTCAGGCCCCTGGGCAGGTGCCCGGGGCTGCCCCGCCCCGGGTATGGTCCTCTTCCCCCAACACTGGCATCCCCTGTCCCGTTGCTGCTAGACTGCAAGTTCTTAGGGGGTAAAAAATGGGACTTGTTCATCCTTGGACCCCCAGGTGACCCGCACTGTCCCCGGCATACAGCCGCATTGATGAGTGTTCAGTGAGCGAGTGAATGGGGGACTCCAGAAAGGCCTGTGGTGACTCAGTTGGCATCCAGGTGGATAAGAGGGCGCTTGATCTACTCTTTTGCTTCCCTCCTCCCAACATCCCTGGTACGCTTTGGTGGGGCGGATGCAGGGAGTTGGGGTGTTGGGCCCTCACTTATCATGCTCTGCTGGCAGCTGGCGGCAGTTGCCTGCAAGGGGGGCCGTGGCTTCCCGAGAGGGGGCTGACCTAATTTTGTGGGGAGGGAGAATGGGGGTGGGCATTATTGATTGGAAACCACTCCACACAGAGCTCATGATGCAAATCCCAAATAATTCCCCTTGTTAATAACCACCTAACCATCTCCCCTGGAATGAGCTAAAATCTGGACAGAGCCACTGTTCTTAGCACCGTTTTTCCATCCTCCTCTCTCCTACCTTCCACTCTCTCCCCATGACTTGTCATCCAACAAACGCTGGCGAGCCTCTGCTCTGGACCAGCACCTGCTGGGCCCTGGGAGCCCTGAGGTGCCTCCGACACAGGCCAAGGAGCTTACAGCCCAGTGGAAGGGATGGGAGGCAAACTGATAGCTATACACCAGAGCTGGGAGAAGACTAGGTGTGGATGGGCCCTCGCGGTTGGGCAGCGTGCAGCCTGTGCAACCACACGCGAGAGCCCAGGCCAGGTCAGGGGTGCCGAGGTTGCCCAGAGCTGGGGAGAGAGAGATGGACTCTGCCTGGGATGGAATGGGAAATGGTAGGGGAAGTCTTCGCTGGGGGCAGGTAGAGCTTCAGGTGGGCTGTGGTGGCTGAATAGGGGTTTTCCAGGCACCAGAGAGAAGAAAGAGAGAGATAACACAAGTAAGAACATGGGAGCTGTGAGATCCCACGGTGTGTTTAGGGAACTTCAAATAGTTTGGTATTGCATAGGGTGCAAATTGGTGAGAGAGGTGGGGAGAGGGGGAGAGAGAGAGGAATCTGGAGAGGTAGGCAGTGCCGGATCTCACAAGATCTCGGGGGCATGTGCGGTCAACGGTGACATACCAGCTGTTGACCCTCTTTGGAGCCACTGATGCTCGCGTGGACTTTCTCCCAGAAAAACCCATGACATCATACCTGCATCTTCTACAACAGTTTCATAGGGTTCATGGACCACCTTTTGGGGACTTACCCCACAGCTTCCGTAGGTGATGGGGACTGAGATTTCCATGCATGGTGGCGACATGTCCAGATTTGTGTTCTAGAGAGTGGCTGTTGTCAGAAATCGCCCCCTCTCTGTCATGGGCTCTGTGCTCCCTGGGCTGGCTTCAGCCTAGGCAGGCACTGCCTTCCTGGGCAAAGGTGGGCCCGGCAGCCTCAGCGCTAACTCTTCCCAGCTTGCAGCCTCTGCAGAAATGGAGCATTTCCCTGTGGTTCCAGCAGAAGTCTCAGGGACTGACTGTCATTGGTCCTGGCTGGGGTCACATGCCCATCCTGGACCAACATCCTGGGGCGGGGGGAACAAAAAGTGCTGCTTGGCCAGGCCTAGGTCATGTGATCTCCGTGTCAGTCCAGGACTGGGAAAGGTGGCTGGGCAAAACCACAGAGGCCCCCACCCGCCTGGGGCTTGCACTCCTGTGGGTTCTCCAGTGCTCAGAGCGGCTGGATCTCCGTGCACGGAGTCAGGAGGAGTGGGTAACGTACTGAAGTCATTCTGGTAGATCTCACCCAGACTGGGGAGAGCAGGTCACTTTCTCAGGTGGGCTGTGAGGTGGGGGTACTGAGGCTGCGGGGAGAGAAAAGGCAACCCAGGGCAGGAAGGGGCCGAGGGTCACCCTGCTGCCCCCCACCCTGGGGGACTCCTGTCTCCATTTCTGTTTCCCCATTTTATCCTCTTTTTGCTGCTGGCTTGGCTGGCTCATCGCTGCTATTTCTCAGGAAGGCAAAAGGCCACTTCTCCTGACATCGGGCCAGATCTGAACCCCTTGTGGGCCATGTCTCTTCTGTAGGTGGCTCTGCCTGGTTCCATCATGCAGTGGGCTGGGTCACCAGGACAATCCTGGCCAGTATTGGTGTGTCCTGGTGTGATCAGGGGACAGCTGACTGCCCCAGAGATGAAGGGCGTTCAGGACACATCCATTAGGCACCTGCTGTGCCTATCCTGGGTGGGTGCTGAGCACAGTAGATGAGAAAGCCTAGGTCCCAGGCCCTGGACACTGGAAAGGGTGCTAGGCTTGGTGTCAGGACGCCTGGTTTAAATCCAGACTGCCATTTTCTAGCTGTGTGGCCTGAGCAAGTAGCTTCAGTTTTATGAACCTCCAGGTACCTCTTCTATAAAATTGCGGTACTATTACTAACCTCATAGAGTTGTCATCATGACTGAAGAAGGTCATATTTGTGCATTACCCAGAAGAGTGCTTGGCACATAAAAGGCCCTCCATAAATGCTTGCTTATTCATCCACAACCTAGTGGAAGTGCGTTGGGGCCCAGAGCCATTTTCATGGCCTCTGGATGGTGGGGCAGATACCAAGGAGAAGGTTTCTCTGGTGGCCACTGAGCAGGCGGGGAGCGGTAAGGAGCCCTGGGCCGTGCATCCCCACTTCTCTTCTCACTGCCCCTCTCTCCACTCCTCTGGCCCTGCTCTCCTGCCATCCTCTTTGGGCCCACTGCAGCCTGTCTGACAACGCCTGCACCCTTCTGCCTCCCAGGTATGCGGATCCTGGTGAACCTGCTCCTGGACACACTGCCCATGCTGGGGAACGTCCTCCTGCTCTGCTTCTTTGTCTTCTTCATCTTCGGCATCATCGGTGTGCAGCTGTGGGCGGGCTTGCTGCGCAACCGCTGCTTCCTGGAGGAGAACTTCACCATGTGAGTCAGGGCCCACTGCCCAGGCGGCTCCCGGCCAGTTTACCCTGGGCACCCATGGTGCCAGATATTTTAGGGCTAGGAGGTCTCCCCAGTGAGCACCTGGTCCCAGTCCTTGCTCCCAGTGGTGCAGAGAGATCAAGGGATGTGCCAGGGTGAGTTGGCTGGATGGTTGGACACTAAAATGAGCACAGAAGGTCTCTGAGCTCTCAAAATTGGTGTCATAAAGTCCTGGTCTCTACCAGGCTCTTAGATGCTCATGCAGCTCCTAGAGACTGTTTGTTACTTCATACAGAGCTTTAACTTGGTAATTGGGATTCAGGGCCAGCAGAGGGGAGGCAGCAAATGACAGTTGGCCCTTGAACAACACGGGTCTGAACAGTGTGGGTTCACTTACATGCAGGTGTTTTTCAATAAATATATTGGAAAATTCTTTGGAGATGTGTGACAATTCAAAAAAACTTGCAGATGAACCTTAGGATTTTCTTAATAACATGTTCTTTTCTCTGGCTTACTTTATTGTAAGACTACAGTATATAATACAGAATATGTGTTAATTGGTGTTTACGTTACTGGTAAAGCGCCTGGTCAACAACCCGCTGGCAGTAGTTGTGTGTTTGGGGAGTCAAAAGTTCCCCAAACTTTTGTGGATTTTTGGCTGCAGTCTCTGCGTGGTTCAAGGGCCCCTGTAGAAGGAGGGCAGAGGGCAGTTAAGACCCATGTAGAAGTGAGGCCAACAGGGAGCAAGCAGGCAGAGGAACCTCAGAAGCAGACATGGAACCTGGCTCTCCAGTTACAGCACAGACAGACCTTCCCCTTAGTGACTGTGAGTCATCCAGCAAAGGTCAACGCGCACGTGGCCCTCTTGTGTCTAAAAGCAGGGGTGTGGTCTCAGGGGTGAGGAGGGGCTACTCCTCAGCCACGACGGTCAGCAGCTGTTGCGACAGAAACCAAGCTTTGGCTTCCGGAGGAGCTGGGCTGAGTTGCCTGGGAAGTTTGACACATGCAGAATCCCAACAGTGAGGGATGAGCCGCGTCTTCGAGTGCACAGACAGATGTGTCCGCACGCGAGGGGGCATTCGCTGCGGAGGCATTGGCGCACGCCTGCGGCACGCCAGGCCGGGGGGAGAGATCGGGGAAGCTCTCTCATTCATCCTCTCCTGCCACAAACGCACCCGAGGGTGCAGTCACATCCTGGAGGGGCTGCTCCCGCCAAGCCCAAGACGAAGCAGAAGATGATGTTTTTGCTCTTACATGCAAGGCTTCATGGCGCGTGGTAGACACAGGGGGTCTGTGGCTAGGCCCATAATTGCTAGTCCAAGTGTCATACATTTTTAATACTTTTCTGTGAAGATCTAAATTACATTTAGTAGCAGACACAACTATTACATGTGCAGCCTAAGGAGGTTTCCCCTGGGTGTGCACAGTGTCCATCTACCCAGAGAAACTTCCGCAGCTGGGAAGCCTCCCTCTGTCCCTTCCCAGTGACTAACCCCTCACCCCAAGCAGGCGCTATTCTGGCCTCTATCACCATAGATTCGTCTTGTCTGCTTTCGAGGCTTCCTTAAATTGAGTCACCTAGGATGTCGCCTTTTGCGTGTGCTTCTTGGGCTCAGCATAAGATGTCTGTGAGATTCGTCCCAGCTGTTGCTAGTCAGCAGCTCCTTTATCGTTGCTGAGGATTCCATGGAGTGAAAATACTGCCACCTCTTCTCCCATTCTACTGTTGATTTGGGTTGTTCCTGGTTTTTTGGGCCTTATGACTCATAAATGTTCCTGTACGTATCTTTGGATGGATACAGCCACCCTTTCTTCTGGGTAAATATCCAGGAGAGGAATTCCTGGGTGATGGATGTGCGTATGTTTTGCTTCAGTAGATTTTGCCACCCAGTTTTCCCAAATGGTCGCACTGAATGTCCCCTAGCACAGTCTGAGAGTTCCCGTGGCCCCACATCCTTAGTAGCATTTGGTAGCGATTCTTACTGTGGTTTTAATCTGTGTTTCCCTGATGACTAATGATGATATACATCTTTCATGTTTTATCAGCCATTCGCATATCTTCTTGTGAAGTGTCTGTTATGGTCTTTAGCCATTTTAAATAGTATTGTCTTTCCTTTTCTCATAAATTTGTAGTAGTTCTTTATAATCTGGAACCCTGTGGTGGGTATACACTATTTTATTCCAGTCTGAGTTTTCCATTTTTGCTCTCAGAAGCTCTTAGTCGTAATGAAGTTTGGGTTATCCATCATTTTTAAAGTATTACTTTTTGTGTCTAGTTTAAGAAATCTTTTTCTCACTCAAGGTCATGAAAATATTCTCCAATGTTTGCTTTTAGAAGCTTTCTTTTTATGTTGTTCACATTTAGGATACATTCCATCTGAAAGAATGTTTAGTATGGTGTGTGGCGGGGGTCAGGGTTCGCTTTTCCCTCCTGGTCACTTGTCCCGATATGGCGATGAAGAAGCCCCCTGCCCCCCCGTCCCCGCACTGGACTGCGGTCACTGGACTGCGGTGGGGCCTTTATCACCAGCAGGCGTCCATAGGTATCTGGGCTGGATGTATATATGCTCGTTGTTGATGGACATTCCCAAATCGCTCTCTGGAACGGTTGTACCAATTTCTGCTCCCACCAGCAGCGTATGAGCGTGTCGGTTTGTACTCACCCTTTTGCACGCTCAGAACTAGCAACCCTGAAAAGCGTGCCATTTGGATGGACGTCAAAATCACCTCAGTGTTACTTTTGTTTGCATTTTCCTGCGGGAGATGACCATCTCTTCCAATCCATTGGCCGTTCTCATTTTTTCTGTGAATTTTTGTTCTTTTGTCCTTTTTTCCCCCCCACACAGTGGGTTTTTTATTTTTCTTACTGAGTTATAGGAGATTTTTGACGTGCTCTAGAGCATTATCTTTTATCTGTTTCATATGTTGTAGACACTTTGCCATTGTTTTTGTAGATAAAGCTTTATCGGAACGCAGCCCTGCCCGCTGTCCCTGTTTCCCGGGTTCCGGGGGCGGAGCCACGTGGCTGGCGCAGTGACCACACGGACTGCAGAAAACTGTTTTCTGTCTGGCCCTTTACAGCAAAGCTTTGCCTGCCCTTTGTTTCAGTTGCTGCTTGTCCTTTTATTTTGTGTGCTATGGTTTCTCTCATAGAGATTTTACATTTGTATGTGGTCCCTATTGCCGTTTTCCTTTGTAGAATGTGGGTTTTGTGTGTCTTATCCAGGAAGGCCTTACCTATCTTTTTTTTTTTTAAATTAAATGTATTGAGGTGATACTGGTCAGTGGGGCCATATCGGTTTCAAGTGTACATTCCTATGGTACACGATCTGGGTATTGCACTGTGTGCTCACGCCCAAAGTCAAATTATCATCCGTTACCATATATGTGGCCCCTGTACCCTTTACTGCCCCTCTCCCCTTCCGTCTGTGGTAGCCACCATCCTGTCATATGTGAGTTTTAGTTTTACATCCCACATATAAATGAAATCCTGTGGTTCTTAGCTTGGCCTTATCTATCTTGTTAACAAAAATATTCCATTTTTTTTATAATATTTGTGTGATTAGGTTTGTTGCATTTGTGCTTTCTAATCCACTGGAAGTTTGTTTTATTAAATTTTATAATATATTTTACTTAATCCAATATATCCAAAATATTGTTTTCAATATGCAATCAATATAAACGATTAATAATGAGAAATTGGCATTCTTTTTTTCTTTTGACACCAAGTCTTCAGGAAGCTGATTTGTGTTTATGGTGTGAGGTAGGGAATCTATCTTAATTATTTTCCAAATGGAGAGCAGTTGTTCTAACACCATTGATTGTCTAGTCCTTCCATTCCCCACGGATCTGAAAGGTGTCTCTATACTCTATTAGGTTCTTTTATACATGGGTTTGTCCCTGTGTACTGTAATGGTCCATGAATCTCCCTGTCCTGGTTACAATATCGCTGTATTAATAACCATAGTTGTAGAGTATTCTGCTGTCTTGTAGGGCTGGACTCCACTCATATTTCTTGTTTCCAAAAATTGCCTTGCCTGTGCCCTCATCCAGATAAACCTAGAACCATCTGGCCAGTTTCCACAGACGAAATCCTGTTGAGGTTTTGACTGGGATTCCAGTGAATCATAGATTAACCGCTCAGGAGGGCAGGATAAGGATTGTTCTCTCTGTCTTACAGAGGAGGAAATCGAGGTCTGGAGAGGAGAAGCGACCCGTTCAAGGTCCCAGAGATGGGAGGGTGGGTCAGGAAGATTCAGCATCTGATTATTGAGTGCCTACTCTGCACCATCCACACAGCGTGGGGACTCGGGATGCTGAGACCCAGTTCTTGTCCTGAAAAAGCCCAGCCTCCTGGTGGAGTTCCGTGCATATACCCCAGGAGCGATGGTGGAGGCGTGGGCCGGACACAGGCTGGCCATGGAGGCCCAGGGTCAGCTCTGCTTGATCCTGGGGAGGCTCCCTCAGGGAAGTCTCTGGGGTGGGGCAACCCTCGAACTGACCACAGTGGTTCAGGGAAACTTTTGTCACCATGGCAGAGGTGGGGAAAGGTGTGCCAGGTGGAGGGAACATGTGCAAAGGCCTGGAGGCAATGGCAGTGACCCCTCCCCTCCTCCTCTTTTACACGCCATCATCTGTGGACAGACAAGGGGATGTGGCCCTGCCCCCCTACTACCAGCCGGAGGAAGATGACGAGATGCCCTTCATCTGCTCCCTTTCGGGGGACAATGGCATCATGGGCTGCCACGAGATCCCTCCGCTCAAGGAGCAGGGCCGGGAGTGCTGCCTGTCCAAGGACGACGTCTATGACTTCGGGGCAGGGCGCCAGGACCTCAACGCCAGTGGGCTCTGTGTCAACTGGAACCGCTACTACAACGTGTGCCGCACAGGCAGCGCCAACCCCCACAAGGGCGCCATCAACTTCGACAACATTGGCTATGCCTGGATCGTTATCTTCCAGGTGAGGCTGCTGAGGCTGCACATCTGCCGGGCTGCCAGGGCCCTGTGCAAGGCACTCGCCACCTGTTTCATGGAAATCTGCCCAACCTGCTTGCACAATAGCCATTACCGTCACATCCACATTACTGTCAGCGCCACTGAGGTTCAAAGAAAGGGCTGTAGGACCTTGGGTGTATTGCTCAGTGTCCCTGCATCTCAGTTTTCACATCTCTAAAGTGGATAACAGTCCCTCCGCCTTGAGTAGCCGAGAAGAATGAGCCAGATGGTGTGAACAGAGCAGCCAGCCCAGGGAGCCGTGAGCACTCGGGAAGGGCGACCTCCCTGCTGTCGGAGGGAAGAGGGGCAGGAGCAGAGGGCAGTGGCGAGAGGCCTCTGGCAGGGGGGCCTTCCTGGGGCGGCTGCTCTGCTCACTCTGCTCTGGGGAGCAGCAGGGCCACAGGAGCCAGGGCGTGTGGGCGCGATGCAACCCCGGCCCGGCAGCTGCCTTCCGGGACGCTCCTGCTGGACGGGGTGGGCAGGCCGCCCGGGGGCTCCTGCCTTGTGCGTTTGCCAGGAGCGAACAAGACGGCAGTGCTGGGGAGGATCCTGTGTTCGTCTTGCCCAAAGCTGTTCCGCCTCCCTCTCTGGTAAGGAGTGTGTGGGGACAGAGGCACCCCAGCTTCGTCACTGCTACACTCCCAGGCTCGGCCGAGCTGCCCCCAGCCCTGCTGGGCGGGCTCCATTAGCCCCACACACTGGGGAGAAGAAGCTGAGGTTTAGAGAGTGTCCCCCAGAGCGCAGGGACCCCTATTTCCAGCATCCCCCCGACTTGGTGTGGTGGACTGGAAAGGGGGCGGGCTCTGGGGCCACAGGGACCAGGTTGAGTCTCTGTTCCACTCCTTGGCTGTGTGCCCTTGGGCAGGTGCCCTGCCCTCTCTGAACCTCGCTTGGTTTCCTCACCTGTAGAACAAAGATGAAGACGGCTCTCCTTTGTGGGAGGGGGTATGTGTAAAGCACCCTGGCACACAGTAGGGCCCTGTCGCTGCCTCAGCTGCCTGCGTTTCCTGAGGCTCAGCCTGGCTCAGGCTCCCTCTTCCCGTCTGCCCTGTCTCGGCTGCAGGTGATCACTCTGGAAGGCTGGGTGGAGATCATGTACTACGTGATGGATGCTCACTCCTTCTACAACTTCATCTATTTTATCCTGCTTATCATAGTAAGTGTCAGAGAAGCTGGGCTCGCCGTGCAAGCTCAAGGACTCATGGGCAGGGGACGGCATTGGGGGTCTTTGGGAGTCCCCGGGGAACTCCTCCGAGCCAGAAGAGCCGGGTGGGAGAGAGCAGGAGGGGCAATTTTTAAAATGCAGCTCAGCAGTGGGTGATTGAAAGGACGCGTCAGCGCGGTGGCTGGACGCATCCATCACTCCCGATTGTCTTCATTTCTCATTTCTGGCATTTGCGTCCACCCGCGGCCCCTGCTCCTGCTTTTCTGCCTCATGGTTCCTGAGATACATGCTTTTCATTGACCTGAGCCCGGTGCAACCCCTGGACAGAAGCTTCTCCAGGGCTCTGGCCTACCCCTCTTTTCCCAGGGTGGGAAGATGAGATGCCCTGAAATGGAGGCCCGGGCTGCTTCCCAAGCAGGGTTTGGAGAGGGGACCGAGGCTGTTGTGACCTGGTAGAGCTCTCTGAAACCCTGGGAGGGACCGCGCCTCTCAGGCAGCCCTTCCTTGTGGGGTGACCTGGAGCTGGAGGTGGGGCTCTACCTGCTGCACAGAGCAGGGCCCCCTTGTGGCCAGCCCCTCCTGCCCTCCCCCGCACAGTCCCCTAGAGCAAGCTAATCCGCGTGTCTGTCAAGCCTGACTGCAGCCGAAGCCTCAGTTCCCACACAGTCCCCCAATGTCACGGTGAGTCACTCCTGGGAGAGTTGCTGCCGGCTCCCTGCCGCTGTGAGCTGGCTTCTCTGGCTTCCCGGTGCTGGGAGAGGGCACAGCTGGCCCTCGGGAGCAGCGCCCCATCTTGGGCTGGAGGGACCTTGCCCTCGGGGACCAGGGCAAACTGACCAATGAGCCGCTTGCTCTTGCTTTTGCTCCGATGTCTTCCTGGGGAGACGGGAGCCTTGGACGCATAGGAGGCTCCCAGGGTAAAAGGAGGTAGACGCAGGCTTTGTTTAGTGTTGCCGCTCATCCACTGGTTGGCTCAGCCACTCCTCAGCGCATTTAGGGACGCCTGCAGCACCCCAGGTCCTGGGCAGAGTGCTTGGGGCTGAGCACTGAGTCGGAGGGGCCCTGCTCTGGAGGAGCGCACAGTCTTGGGGAGAAGATGGGCTATAGCAGACATCGACCAGACAGCATCTTAGGAGCCATGATAGAGGGACACCCAGGGAGGCCTCTAACCCAGCTCAGAGGAGGGGTGGGGGCAGAGGGGGCTTCCTGAAGGAGGTGACACCAGAACTGACCCTCAAAGGTGCGGGGGCGGGTGTCGGGGGAGAGGGTGTGACAGCCAGAGGAAGAGCCTTCTGGGCCGGGGGAGTTCCCAGAGACCCTGCAGCGGCAGAATCCTCCAGCAGGGGGCACAGAGGGCCCTAGGGTGGCTAGAGAAGTCTATCCCTCCGGAGCCAGGCTGGAGAGCACTCTGGCTGCTCCCCCTGCTGGAGCCAGGGCCTGATCCTAGGGTCGGTAACTGCCCGCGTGACCTGACCCGCTGCAGGCCCGCAGGCCCCCGGGGGCTCCCGAGCGCATGGCGAGCCGGGAGCAGTGGCAGTCCAGACAGGGCCTGAGAGACTCTGCTGTCGTTTACCCCATCAACCCAGGCCATGCGCTGTCACCTGCTTGTTCCTTGGGTGGGGAGCAGGCGCCCCAGAGCGGTCAGCTGCCTGGCCGGGGACAGTCTGCCAGGGAGGCGGCTCCTTGTGCCCTCTGGACCGCCACTTCCCCGTCTGCAAGATGGAAGGCCCAGGCAAGGCCCGCTTAGAACTTCTCCAAGCACAGGGCGCCCTGGGGACCTGGGGCAGCAGCGGCAGAGGCGGGCCGGGTGGAGGGCTGGCAGGTGTGAGCTACGCCAGGGCAGGATCCGTCCCCCTCACACAGGCCTGGGATAGGGCGGGTCTCCAGGAAACGCTTGGGAAAGAAATGACCGAGACAGTGAATGAGTGGGGCATGCTCTTACCTGGAAATTTCCCCAGAGGCCTCTGGGCCTGGCCACCCCCAGCTCACAACCCCAGAACCTCAGGTCCCGGCCATGCTGTAGGGGAGAGTGGGGAAGGGCTGCAGCCTGCAGGAGCCTCCTGGTGGGCAGCCTGGAAGAGGAGGAAAAGCCACCCACCCCTCCCTCACCGGCAGGGTCTGAGCCCATTCAAAGGCTTAGCAAATGCCAGGGGAGGGCTCGCACCCTGGAACCCAGAGCAGGAGGGGCCCCTGCAGCTGAGTCCTGGGGCTTGAGGCAGCAGGACTCCAGCAGTAACTGGGTGGCTTCTCCCACCACCCCATCCAAGTCCGGGTAGAGCCACACAAGCAAACCCGTCTCAGGGATGCCTCTCTGTTCTCGTGTGGACGCCCAGCTCGGGCCAAAGGCGAGGTCAGAGCCAGAGCAGGGCTGAGTGGGGCGGGGCCTGGGCCGCCTGAGAGGGGCTGTGCCTGTCTTCCTGGCCTCCCTGCGGATGTCCCGGCAGGAGGGCAGCTGCAGCCAGAGCCTAGAGGGGCCTCTGGGGGCGGGTTTGGGAGCAGCCTCCGGGGGGCCTGGGGAGCTGCCTGGGCCACTGCCGCCTGCGGTCCTGAGCTCCCCTTGGAGCGGGGCCTCAGCGCTCTTTCCCTGCCCCCACCTGTGCTGTGCCCCTCCGTCTCTCTGGGCCCTCCACCCTCCTTTCCTCCTCCGTCTCCCTGTGTCTGCCTGCCCTGCCCCCCGCCCTGTCACTCTGCATCTCCCGCACCCCCTGTTCCTGTCCTCTCTGAGCCTGTCTCACTCTCTCTCTCTGTGTCTCTCCTTGTTCTCATGTCTCTGTGCACCTGGCTGTCTCTGGTTGTCTGCCTCCCGCTCTGTCCTTTCCCTGTCTTGTCTCGCCTCTGTCCCTGCCCCTCCTCCTGTCTTCCTGCCTCTTATTCCTCCGCTTTTCACCCGGCCCTGTCACTCCGTCTCCGTCTCTGTGTCCCTGTCTCTTTCTCCCTCTCGCCCCACCCCCACCCCTCTGTCCTCTCTGTTCCTCTCCTCTCCTCCCGTTGGTCACAGGTGGGCTCCTTCTTCATGATCAACCTGTGCCTCGTTGTCATAGCGACCCAGTTCTCGGAGACCAAGCAGCGGGAGCACCGGCTGATGCTGGAGCAGCGGCAGCGCTACCTGTCCTCCAGCACGGTGGCCAGCTACGCCGAGCCCGGCGACTGCTATGAGGAGATCTTCCAGTACGTCTGCCACATCCTGCGCAAGGCCAAGCGCCGTGCCCTGGGCCTCTACCAGGCCCTGCAGAGCCGGCGCCAGGCCCTGGGCCCGGGGGTGCCCACCTCCGCCAAGCCCGAGCCCCACGCCAAGGAGCCCAGGCACTTCAGTAAGTGGCCTTGCCTCCCGTGGCCTCCAGGCTGCCCCATGTGGGCCTCGTGGGCCCCCAGCTGGGGAATCCCAAATGGCGGTGTTTGCAGGGGCGCCTCCCTGTCTCCCCAGCATCAGCAGAGCCGGGCAGCCTGGCAGGCTGAGCACCCAGGTCTACCTTGAGGGCTCCAGCCCGCACCCTTTGTTCCCTCCCCGCTCCCCGACCACCTGCCAGTACCTGGCCTGGGCTGGCCCTGGGCTCAGGGGACCCAGCTCGGGCCCTGGAGGAATTCCCTCCCCACCTGGTATGGGCAGGGGGCCTCAGGCCCCGCCCCTGCGAGCCACACTCGAAAGGCAGGAACAGTTGTCTGTCCTCAGCCTGCTGAAACTCTAAAATCTGCCCCCACTGCAGTCAGCCTCCCCCGCACATCACCACGTGCTTGCTAGCCCATGTGAGCAGTGACGCCTGGCCCCCTGGAATAAAGGGGGCGGCTACCCTGCAAAGGCACGGCATGCTGGGGACACTGGTGCCTCTCTGACCTCCTGCCTCTCGTCCCTTTCTTTGCTTACTCGACTCTCACTGGTTCTTTCTGGTAGTTAGCGCTTTAGGCTCAGAAAGGGCTCTCGGTCCAAACAGACCTGAGAAGGGGCGGAGTGAGCGGTATTGTCCCCAGAGAGGATAAAGGGAGTCACTTGAGGTTATACAGTGTATCAAGGACAGAAACTCATTGTAAGGGATGTCAGAGTATTGGCTCAGTGGAGCCACCTCCAGGGGGGAATGAGCCCCAGGACGAGGCAAATGTGCCACAGTAAGGACCCCCCAGGCCCAGTCCTGCCCTACTTGGTGCCAAGAAGGAAGTCAGCAGGTGGCAGGACCGTGCCCCGGGGCAGGTACAGGGGTGTGACCTGGGACAGCCCTGGGCCCTCTGCAGGCCTCAGGGTCCCCCGAAGGGTGCGGACAAGGCCGCGAGCCGCGGGGGTCGGCCGCGCCCAGGCCCTGCCCCTGCAGCTCTTGTGCTCTGGGATCCGAGGCTCCCAGAGGCAGGCGGAGAATGCGTGCTTGACGCTGCCAGCGGCCGCCTGCGTCCAGGCGTGGTCGTGGGGGAGGCTCGAGGTGCCGCGTGGGCTGACCCAGCTCTCGGAGGAGGAACTGGGACAGGGGCACGGCCGGCACCTGGGGTTCCTGGGTGACGCAGGGAGGGGTGTTCACTGCACTGCTCAGGTTACCCTGTCCCGGGCGCCTGCAGAGGGAAGCCCCAGGGGAGCTTCTGGAGGGAGGTGTTACTCTCCGCCCCGGGCCTGTGTACCAGGGAGCCTGGCCCGGGGTACCGAGTTGGGGGCGGGGGGTTTGGGGGAGGAGGAGGAGGGGCTTTGTCCTGTCCCCCAGCTGAGGTGGGACAGCTCCGGGGATGAACAAGTCAGAGGCCCTATCCAGGGCGTCAGGGGCTGTTTGGAGGCAAGTGTGGAAATGAAGGAGGCATTATGTGTTTTTCTTTCCCTTTAACAAAGTTATTTTTGCTTACACAAGCAAAGCATATTTATTCTAGGAAAATATAGACAAACATAAAGAAGAAACCAACCCACACAGAGAGAGTCTCTCTGACTCCTTTTGAAATGGATTGCAGGTCACGTAGCTCAGGCCCAAGCCTGGCCCAGGCTTCTCACACCCTCCCTAGGCAGCCAAGCCCCCGGCAGCCCCCCGGGGGCCTGTCCCGCCTCCTTCCCCTGCCGCCAGCCTGGCTCTCTCAGCTGGTGCCACGGAGGTCCCGGGCCTGCTGGGGAGGGCCTGCTTCCTGCCGGGCTCCTGCCTCCTCCCCTCCCTGGGACACAGACCCCATGTGCAGGAGGGAGAACTGAGGAACATCAAGGCCACCTTGGCTTCCTCTGAGGGGCGTCCACCCTCCACACTGGCCTGGCGCTTTGAGAAGCTCTTCAGCTATTTCCCAAACTCCGTGATGTTAGAAATCAGGGTGCTGGGAGGGGCTGGGGTTTGGGACGGGTCTGTTCAGTGACTAGCCCAGGGCCACAGGCCAGGAAGCGATGAAGGAGCAGTTACCTTGTATGTGTGTCCCAGACACTGTTTTAGGCACACCATGCATATTAACCAGTGGGAAGCCCCACAGCCCTGCATGGTGGGCGCTCCTGGTCCACACCTTTGCACCGAGGCCAACAAAGCCCAGAAGGTGAAGTCCTTTCCTCAGGAACCACAGGCCTCTCGGCCTCCGGGTGGGGCTGGCACGGTCCAGGCAGACCCCGCGGGTGACGGGCCTGCAGCCCACACGCGGCTCTGTCCCAGGCTTAGGCCAGGGCCCGGTGGTGACGGGTGCCGCCGCCTCTGAGACCCATCATGCGCCCTCTGCTTGCCTTTCAGAGCTGTGCCCGAGACACAGCCCGCTGGACCCGACGCCCCACACGCTGGTGCAGCCTGTCTCTGCCATGCTGGCCTCCGACCCCACCAGCTGCCCCCGCTGCCAGCACGAGCTGGGCCGGCGGCCCTCGGGCCTGGGCAGCACCGACTCGGGCCAGGAGGGCGCAGACTCGCGAGGCTCTGGTGGCGGAGAGGACGAGGCCGATGGGGACGGGGCCCGGAGCAGCGAGGAGGGGGCCTCCTCGGAGCTGGGGAAGGAGGACGAGGAGGACCGGGCGGATGGAGCGGCCCGGCTGTGCGGGGACGTGTGGCGGGAGACGCGAGCCAAGCTGCGAGGCATCGTGGACAGCAAGTACTTCAACCGGGGCATCATGATGGCTATCCTGGTCAACACCGTCAGCATGGGCATCGAGCACCACGAGCAGGCCAGTGGGGCTGGGCGCCAGGCCGGGCAGGGCAGGCGGGGAGGGCCGGGGCACCCCAGCCAGCCCCAGCCAGCCCGGGTGTGTCTGTCTCCCCTGCCCGCCAGGGCTGGATTCAGTTCCCCCGGTGGCTTTAGTGTCCAGCCCAGGGCCAAGCACGGAGGAGGGAGGAGCTTAGGTGCCTGCTGTGTGGGCGAATGAGTGGTGAGTTCAGGGGGCTGGGGCTGGCCGGGGGGCACGCAACGGAGGGAGAGCCAGGGAGGTCCAGGTCCTTGCGTCCTGAGCAGCTCGGCATGGACCCAGGGCTCCCCCAGCGCATCCCCTCTCAGCCCCTGCTCAATCTAACTTCCACTCATTGCTTCTCCACGTGGGCCCTCCTGTCTGTCCTCCCCAGGACGGCGGGAGTGACATGTCCAGAGGCTGGGCTGTCCCCTGCCCACAACACACCTTCAGCGAACAGAGTGCCCTCGTGCGCCGGTCCGCGGCGGCTCACTCATCCCGCCCTCCCCACGGCCCCTCGGCATGAGGGCGGCCCTGTGGTCCGTCGCCCTCCTTGGCCAACCCTGTGGGTTCCTCTGTCCTTAGCTCCAGTGCGGGGGGTGCGGGGGGTGTTGCCTGAGTGGAATAGTGTATCCCAGGCCCCTTAGGCACCGGGGGGCAGCTGGGGGTTCAGAAAAGGGGTCGTCCCCGAGGAAATAGCCCCTGGGAGAGAGGATGGCTTCCAGGAGGTGACAGGAACCTAGGGCGGTTTTGTACAAGAAGGGAGGAGACTATGTGTAGGGACACAAGATGGAACACCGGGGGGGGGGGTTAGCCCAGAGGTCCCCAGTCCATAGGTCACACCCAGGTGACAGCCTGGATGACACTTCCACCCTGGCTCCATTTGGAGAAACACCATTTTCTGGCTCCCAGTGTCCCCCAGCCAGTAGGTGACCCCAGCTGGGAGGGCACTCCACTTGGCAGCTGGTGACCCTGAGGCGCAAGGCGGGGCGAGCGCTGGCCCAGGCCCCACTGCAGGGCTGAGGGTTCGGAGGCCCCTTTGCCTCCCTGCCGCCCTCGCTCTGCAGAGCCCGCCGCCCGCTGCGCCCTGCGGTGGGCCACGCTCTCATTTCCCTCTTCATTAGTTCGCCAAGCGCAGGCCCAATTCAATTTACTTAAATGCGGCTCCTGGGGCTGCCGTGACACTCTGTTCAGAGCTGCTGGTTTACCAGCCATTCTGGCTTAATTAAAAAGGTCTCTGGGGAGGGCTGGGGAAGGCGCTCTGCACGGTGAAGCTGGCGAGACAGGCAGCCCAGACCCCTCGCTGGGGGCCAGCCTCACGGCCTGTGCCTGCCCCAGGCCAGCAGGAGGCCAGCGTTCCTGGGAAAGGCCCCACGGGGAACCGGTGCCGCGAGGGTGCTGGCTCCAGTGGGGCAGCACCAAGGGCGCCTGTCGCAGTCTGGCTATGCCAGAGCCTGGGCGCTGTCCCTGCCAGTGGCTTGCTGGAGCCAGCCTGCAAGAGCAGTTTTCCAACACGGAGGGATTTTGCAAGGACATTGCTAAACACAGCTGCTAGCTTGAAATTGGCCACAGTGGAAGTATTTACACCATGGAAATTGGCATATGCTACAAATTAGGGCTATTCTTCAGAGGCCTGTTTGCCATTGTACTGCTGGTCCATGTCTTCTCAGCTGTCCCCTTCAAGGCAACACAGCAGCTGGGCAGCTGTGTCCTCTGGGCCCAGCCTCTCCCTCTGCTTATTGGCCCCAGCCTCAGGCCAGGCCATGGTCCCTGCCCAAGCTGGCACAGGGTCTCCCTGCCTGGCCCGTCCCCCTTTACTCCTTCTGCCATATCTTGCCCAGGCAAGCTTTCTAGCCTTGAATATGGTGGAGCCTCTTCTCTTTGGCACTGCGGGCACCCCCAGGGCACCCCCCACCCCTGCCACTGGGCTGGGATAGGAGAGGCTGTTCTTACTGGCTGGTTTCCTGCCCCTTCATAGGGTCCGCCTCAGTCTCTTTATCTACGAAGCAGGTGTCCCAGCTTTGTGCCCTTTCCCTCAGAGGGATCGGCTCCCATTAACCGAGCACCTACTAACCGCTGGGCCACAAGCCTACGCAGGTTACTGAGTCCTCACAACCTCCTCATAGACTGACAAGGAAGGTGAAATGCATTTAGAAGCCTAGCACATAGTAAGTGGTCACAAGTTAGGAATTATTTGAATCTTTTCATGGAGCCTTATACCACCAGTTTTGGGTGAGTTTACCAATCTGCTGTCTGGAGTCTCAAAGGATTAATTAAAGAAAAAGTGAGAGGGAGAGAGAATTTAAAAAATGCTCTTTTTAAAGCAGCTCTGAGTGGCAGCCATGTTCAGCAGAGCTCTGTGGGGGGCCTGCTTGGGGGCTGCTGGTATTTGTGCTCCATCTCCCTGACTCCTAGACGTGGCTCCATGGGAAACGATCCGCCCTGCCTTTAGTTCGAGCTGCCCTGAGTGGCCCCCGCAGAGAGGGGGCTCAGGGCCTCCCGGGGCAGGAGGAGAAGCAGGCGAGAGCACCTGCAGGGATGGCGACTTTGAGGGGAGGAGCCCTGGGGGCCCCGCCTCTCACGCCCGCTCTGCCAGCAGGGAGCTTGCTGTGGCCACTATGGTGGCAGGTCGCGGGGCGGGTGGGGGACCGAGCCTGGGCACTACTTCCTTCCTCCTCCGGTGAAGCGGGGGCCACCCCTGCCGCTCTGGTCACGATGCTCAAATGAGAGACCTCACAGGTGCCCATGGCCTTTAGGTGGCCACTGCTGCCGAAATCCCAAAGGAGTGCCACCAGGTTCCTCGTGGCCACGGATGCTGCTCCTTTCAGGGACTGACCTGGGAGAGTGACAGGTTAAAGGGAGTGTCAGCCAGGCAGGGGCCTGCTTGTGACCCACTAGGTGGTCAGAAGGTGCTGACATCTGTCCCTAAGCCCTGCCGTCCTGGGAGGGGACTGGGCCCAGAACCGTCTGTAACTGAGGCTGCGTGACAAGCCGGTGGCAGAGGTCAGCTCGGGCACCAGACCAGTCGTCATCACCTGCAGTCCTGTTTCGTCACATCTCTTCCCCAGGCGGTCCTCATGGCAGCCCTGGGGAGTAGGCTGAGTGGGTGTCTTAACCCCCCTGGGCAGCTGGGGAAACTGAGGCTCAGAGAGGTGGAATGGCTTGCCCCAGGTGGCAGGGGGAGTGGCAGTTAGAGCTGGTCTCTGAGGTTCCACAAAGCGGACAGGAGGTGCGACGGGGGCTGGGAGCAATGTCTGCCTCCACTTCTCTCCCAACGGCCACCTGCCTAGGCCAGTGACCCCTCCTGAGCTGGGCAAGACTGTCCTGGAGCTGGAGGGTGGTCTCCAAGATGGACAGCAAAAAACAGAGTGGGACTGACTGGGCCGCAGGGCAGGGGTACAGGGAGCCTCCTGGGGCAGGGTGCGCCAGGCTGGGGCACATGAGCTGGCCCCAGCTCCCAGGGGGCCGCATTCGAGGTCTCCAGACCAGTGGATGGGTCACAGCAGGCTTTATTCTCTCTCCAGCAGCCCCCAAGTCACTGCCGACCCAGGCCTGGGTGACCCTGGGAAGGTGAGGCTGGGGTGGCCTGGTTCCAGCTCTGGGGCAGCTTGGGGGAGAGAGATACCAACATGTGCTGCAGTCAGGGAAGACTTCCTGGAGTCAGCGGTACTGGAGGTGGAGCCTGAAGGAGACTAGATTTCATCAGTGAGACAGAGGAGGGACAGGAGCAGGATCCAGGAGCATAGACACCCGCCTGAAGGACCCTGAGCCCTCAGGGCAAGGCAGATGGCCCAGGAGGCTGGGGAGCCGTCCATCCATGATGGGTCTTGAGCCTGGCTTTGTCCTTTGGGCAGTAGGGAGCTGTGGAAGGCTTGTAAGCAGGGCCGTGACATGTCTGTGCTGTACCGGACCCTCAAGTCAGGAAAGCGGGGCAGGTGCAGGTGCCTGGGCCACAGGGAGGGGGCCTGGGTTTGAGATCTGACCCCACCACGAGCTGGTGTGGCCCTGGGCCTCAAGCTTCCTGTCTGCAAAATGGGGCTACCATAGGGTGACGTGTGAGGCTTAGGTAGAGTAGTTCATGGAAAGTGTTTAGCACCGCCTGGCACGAGGGAGGTGTTAACACCAGCTGCTGTTGTTAACATGGGGATGGCGCTGGGCTTGAGGGCTCCTGGGGGCAGTCTAGGCTTTTGCCCAGCTGGTCTTTTACCTGCCCCTGCAGCCCCCTGGGACTGGGGCCTAGGCCCTCCCAGGTCTGGCGTCAGCAGGGAGGAGGGGCAGGCCCTGGCCCCGCCCCCTCCTGCTGCCTCTGGACCCACCTCCAGGTTGCAGCCTCTCCTTATCTGCCCTCCAACTTCTTGCCTCTGCTTGGTTTTTCTGCCCTTTGGCATCTCCTCCTTCACTCCGTGGGTCTTTGCTGTTTCCGGCCCCTTCTACACAACCTCTGTCGGTCTGCCTGCCCAACCTGCTCTTTCTCTTCCTGGCTCTGACTGTGACTCCCACTGTGTCATGATTTTGGTCCGCTGTGTTTTGATCTATGTTTTTCTCAGTCTTGTCTCTGCTCACTTGGCCTTGCTTCTCACTCTGTGTGTCTGTATTTGTCTGTCTGTCTCTCTCTGCCCGTCTTTCTCAGGGCTGCCCCTCTTTCTCTCCACATGCCCCTCTCCCTCCTTGGCCTTACTCAGTGTCTATATTTGTCTGTCTGTCTCTCCCACTCACTGTCTCCCTCCCAGAAAAATGCTCGCAGGAGTGATGGATGATCCATTAGAAAAAGATTAACAGGTGTGCCCTTGCCTAGAGAGGCAGCCGTTTCGAGGGAGGAGGGACATGAGTGGGTGACCTTTCCAGGGACCACGGCGGGCGTGTGCCGCGTGTGTGGCTCAGAGCGGGGTGATCCGCGCATGTGGACTGTCAGCGCCCACAGTTTTCATCTCCCGGATGCTGAGTGTTGTTTGGCCAGCGGGGAAACCGGTGGCTCCGAATAGCATCTGGGCTGTGACTCAGCCCCGGATGCCGGGCCCCCGCCCCGCCCCACTGAGGGACCCTCTCAGGGTCCTGTTCCGCTTCTGGGACCCCTTTGTGAGACGAATATAATCATCGATGGGAATGGGGCTTTCTCCTTTCATCTGGACTAGAGATAAACTGGCAAGTTTTATTAAATTTCCCAGGCACCAGGCGAGAAGCAGGTGGTTGGTTTTTTTCTTCTGCTTTTAACCCAAATGGAATCAAAGTCAGGCCCCTGAGGTGCCCAGTCCCAGGAAGAGGGGCAGGGCGGGGCTGGGGGTGGGCAGTGCTGATGGCTGGCCACTGTCCCCTCCGGCCCTCACTCTGGCTGGGCCTTTACCCTGGTCTCCTTCTCTCAGCTTTGAGGTCCCTGCTGAGATGTCACTTCCTCCAGGAAGCTGCTCCTGATTCCACTGGTCCCCAAAACACACTCAACTTTCCTGTTCTTAGCACCTCCCGACGGGCTTGTTGGTTAACCTGTGTGTTAACAGACTTTGCCACCAGAGCCCGCACTTCCCGAGGGCAGGAAGGATGTCCTGACTCACACCGGCCCCCTGGGTAGCGCCGGCCAGCTCGCAGTGGGGGCCCAGTGCTCGCACTGGTGAGCGAGTGGGGGAGGGATGGGGGAGCTCTGGTGGGGTCTCAGTGTGTGTCACAGGCGAGCAGTTTGGAGTCTGACCTGGCGCCGTGCTTGGCTCTGCCACCTCCTTGCTTGGGGGGCCCCACACAAGTGTGTTCACTTTGCTGAGCCTCCGTCTCCTCATCTGTGCGCCGGAGGCATCTGCCGTGGCCTCCCAGGTTGTCTGCAGCTCAGCAGGGGACTGGGTGGCATGCTCAGCATGGCGTGTGGTCGGGCCTGTCAGATGGCTCTTCCCTTGTCTGTGATTCCGGTGGGAGCAGCCTGGTTCCACAGGGGGCAGAAACCAGGCAGTCCCCAGCGCCGGAGGGACGCTGGTGGGGAGAGTGGGGTGGAGCCGCGAACAGCGCCTAGCAGAGAGCTCGGAGCGAATCCCTCTCGTCCCACTCCCTCCTCGTTTCATGGATGAGGAGGCTGAGGCCAAGGAGGGGTGGGGTGGGCCTGGGACCCTGCCCCCCAGTAGTGGCCCAGTAGTGTAGCCCGTTTCGTATACTGCGGTTGCTCAGATGGTCCCATTGGCGCGGTGTCACCTGTTGCTAAAAACCAGGAGGTAAACAGCTCTGGGGACAGAGGGTGGGTCTGTAGCCACTGGGAGCCAGGCTCCTTCTGACCAGCTTGGTGGCTTTAACTGTTAACTTCCCTGGGACCCACTGTCCTACTATGGGAAGTGGGTGACGTGAGCCCCACTGAGTAGGGTGCTTGCGTTAGTGAAGAGCCACGTGGTACACAGTAGGTGCATGGTCTCCATCGTCCCTTCACAGGGCGTAGTGGTCTCCAGACTCTGCAGTCCTGAAAAAGTGGCCCTTGCTGGGGCGGTGAGCGAGGGGGAGGCTGGGCAGCCAGATCTGCACAGGAAGGGGTGGAGGGTGAGGGCCAGGCTGCTGGTTTGAATCCTGGCTCTGCCCCTCACTCATTCTGCCCCTCACTCATTCTGCCACCTGAGGCAGCAGACTGGCCTTCTCTGAACCTGCTTCCTCATTGGCAAAATGGGCCGCCTTTCCATTTTCTGCTCCGCCTCCTGTGACCTCAGACCAGCTTCTGAGCCCCAGTTTCTTTATCTGTAAAATGGGTATCCTAATATCTCCCTGGCTGTGCAACAGCACCAGTTCCAAATTAGTGGACGGACCCAGGGCCGCAGAATGGCCAGGTCCTCAAGGCCATGCTGTAAAGGGTGGATGGAGCGCCAGTGAGGACACTGAGCTGCCCGGCCACGCAGCCAGGGTGGCAGAGCCACGCCTCACCACCTCCCTGGGGGGGTCCTAGAGCCGATGGGCTTCCATAGGGGAGGCTGCTTTCTGCCTGACTGGGCTCCTGTCGCCACCCCAATGCCCCACAGCCCGAGGAGCTGACCAACGTCCTGGAGATCTGCAACGTGGTCTTCACCAGCATGTTTGCCCTGGAGATGCTCCTGAAGCTGGCCGCCTTCGGGCTCTTCGACTACCTGCGCAACCCCTACAACATCTTCGACAGCATCATCGTCATCATCAGGTGCCCCTGCCCCCCATCCCCCACCCCCAGGCCATGGGCCAGAGGCAGAGCCGGGGACGGGGGCGCTGACCCAGCCTGTACGTGAAGTACGTAAGATCAAAGGAAGCCAGTTACACAGAAATACAGTTAACAAAAATATTCAAAAATTTGTGATTTAGCCATATACGTGCTTCCGGGTGAACGCATTAAATAGCAAGATCTAGCAGCGGGTCTGTGACTCCTGTCACCCCGAGGGGATGAGCATAAACTATATTTGAAAATATCTATGTCAACTATCGTATATAAAACCGGTGATTTCCATTAGCCATGAGATCATAAGAACTGTTAATTCTCTGTGGTTTGTTGTTTCCATTCATAATCAAAAGAATGTTAAATTTCCAAAAAAGCTCTGTGACCTCTGTGAACCTTCTGAATTCTGCCCATAGACATCCTGGGGGAGGGATCCATGAACTCCACGTTAAGAGCTCCTGCCTCAGGGCGCCCCAGAGCAGCAGTGACCTGTGAAACAGATTATTGGTTGGGTGGATGGATGGATGGACAGATGGATGGAACTCTTATCTCCTCTGCCCTGCTCTCCTCCTGCCCTTGCCCCCGCCCCCGCCCCGTGAAGCATCTGGGAGATCGTGGGGCAGGCGGATGGTGGGCTGTCGGTGCTGCGCACCTTCCGGCTGCTGCGGGTGCTGAAGCTGGTGCGCTTCATGCCTGCGCTGCGGCGCCAGCTCGTGGTGCTCATGAAGACCATGGACAACGTGGCCACCTTCTGCATGCTGCTCATGCTCTTCATCTTCATCTTCAGGTGAGCCCTGCCCGCGCTGGGACCACACCTGATGGGGCTGTAGGTAGGGGCATGGCTGGTTGGGTTCTCCGGGCCACCCCTTGGACGTGGCTGGTTGGGTTCTCCGGGCCACCCCTTGGACGTGGGTGTGAATCCTGCCGCCACTGTTTAATCCCCTGTGGCTCTGGGTGAGTGCTTTCCCTTTGAGTGGCAGGGTTCTCTTCTGTAAAAGGGGACCAACACCGTATCCACCTTACTGGGTAGTTTTGACAAGGACCCAAGGCGAGTGGGTGAGAGCTTGGTGTTTGTGAGTCCCTGGAGCCACCTCTGTCCCTCCCCAGCATTCTTGGGATGCACATCTTTGGCTGCAAATTCAGCCTCCGAACGGACACGGGAGACACAGTCCCAGACAGGAAGAACTTCGATTCCCTGCTGTGGGCCATTGTCACGGTGTTCCAGGTGAGCATGTGTCCGCACGTGACAGGGCAAGGAGTTCACCCGGGATCGCTTTTGCTGGTGCTCCCAGCCTCGGCGACTCCACAGAGCGCGGTCTGACAGGGAGGCCCCTCAACTCCGGCTCAGTGAGCAGGTGTGGGGCGTGTGACCAGGCCAGCGCAGGACGGGTCCCGGGAGCTGGACTGCCCGCCCGGTGCCCATCGCTGGCCCATCCGCTCCCACCCTGAGACTTCGGGCACCTTAGGGGTCTTCTCTGAGACTGCTCCCTCCCCCCGGCCTGGTGGAATGAGGGTGCATAGAGGGCGGGGCAGCAGGAGCAAGGGGAGGAGGAAGCGTGGGTCTGTGCTGGGGATGCAGGTTGGTCGCAGGAGCAGGGTAGAGGATGGGGCTGTGCAGCTAGGAGAGAGCAGTGCTCAGTGGGGAGTGAATGTCAGGGCAGGGGCTTGCGACACAGGCTTGAAGGTGTGGGCAAGCAGGGGGCAGCAGGCAGAGCAGCGTGTGCATGTGTGCGCGCATGTGCGCAAGAGACTGAGCCGGGTGGGCACACCCCCAGCTAGAGCCACGGTGCTCGAGGTCCTGGGGCGCGCCTGAGCACCTGCGAGGGGATGCCGCTGTAGGCGTGCGTGGCTGCCGTGTGCTGTAGCTGGGCTGCCCGGAGGGCTCCCTCTGCCCTCGGGCTGTGGTGGGGCCGGGGGTGGGGGGCGACGGGGGGTGCTCTTGTACTGAGCCAGGCGCTCCTCCCTCACAGATTCTCACCCAGGAGGACTGGAACGTCGTCCTCTACAATGGCATGGCCTCTACCTCGCCCTGGGCCTCCCTCTACTTCGTTGCCCTCATGACCTTCGGCAACTACGTGCTCTTCAACTTGCTGGTGGCCATCCTGGTGGAAGGCTTCCAGGCGGAGGTGACTGTGGCCCCGGTGGAGGAAGCAACCCCATGGGGCCTGCACGAGACTGGGTGAGGGGAGGGGGTCTTGATGGGGGAGGGCTGCAATTCAAACGTCTAGCAGGCGAGTCTCCAGAGGAAGGGGTTGCCAATGAAGTAGTGAGCTTCCCAGCACAGGAAGTGCGCACATGGGGCCAGCAGCTGGGATCCCTGCCTCTCCCCAAGGGGCGTAAGGCTAGGCCCTTCCATCTGTGAGGTTCTAAAGTCCCCAGAACCTGGGAGTGTGGGCCCTGCTTCCTCCATTCTCTGAGGCTTTGGGGAACTTGCAGTCGAGCAGACGTGGGTTTGTGGTCTAGGTCCTCATTGGCTTCTCACTCCCCTTTCCCGAGCCTCGGTTTCTGCATTTTAAAATGGGGGTGAAAACATCCATTGAAAAGTTCACGAGGGAGGGAAGGGCTGAACTGACTTGTGTTCCAATGTGAGGGATGGTCTCCCAGGGCGACGCCAATCGCTCCTACTCAGACGAGGACCAGAGTTTATCCAACATGGAGGAGTTTGACAAGCTCCCGGAGGGCCTGGACAGCGGCGGAGGTAAACGGACCCCGACCTGTCACCGGAGGGGCCGGGCCCCTTCCGCAGAGAGCCGGGGGGCGAAGGGCACAGCCTCTGGTTTTCCCTCAAGCCCAGGCTGTGTGACTGCTAATGCCTGGGGTTTGTTGTTTACGTTCCTAATTGGAAGATATGCTACATCTCCAAAAGTCAGCGACCTTCATGACCTTCCTGAATTGTAGATACAGGTGTAGGTGCAGCCCACCCTCACGCCTCCACACAGTGTGGCCTGTTGGGAAGAGCCTTGGGCTCAGGATGCCTGCGTTTGGGTCCTGGTGGGCACCCAGGGCAGCTTGGAGCCAATGCCCCCAACCCACGCTGTGTCCTTGGTAACTGGGTTGGGGGTCTCTGCCTTGCCTCCCACACACAGTGGCCATGGGAGGCAGGTTCTCATACTGGGTGAAGCTTGGTGGCAGCCATGAGTACAGAAGGCAAGGGAGTTGCTTTCTCAAAATCAGAGCCGAGAGCCCTGCAGGCAGGGCAGAGGGGAGGCACGGGTGATGGGGTCCAACGTGGAGGACTTCCTGGTAGAAGAGGCTTCCCCAGAAAAAAACTCTCCGTTTCTGTTATTGTCCGTGTCTGTTTCTTCGTCTTATGGCTTCTTTTGCTTTTGTTCTGGTCTCCTGTCTGCCCCTCCCTCTGTCTCCATCTCATCCCTCCAGATCCCAAGCTCTGCCCAATTCCTCTGACCCCCAATGGGCACCTGGACCCCAGCCTCCCTCTGGGTGGACCTCTGGGCCCCGCTGGGGCTGCAGCGCCTGCCCGCCTGTCGCTGCAGCCGGACCCTATGCTGGTGGCCCTGGGCTCCCGCAAGAGCAGCGTCATGTCATTGGGGCGGGCGAGCTACGACCAGCGTTCCCTGGTGAGTCCTTGTGGGGTGCTGCGGGTGGCTGCTCCCTGATGGGATGTGTGAGGGACCCTGGGGAGAAGCACCTGGCAGTCCAGCTTCAGACTGGTGGCCCGGCTCAGGGCGCCAGAGTGTCCAGCTGGAACCAGGCAGGGAGCATGTCTGTTGCATTTCTGGGTTCCTAGAGTCAGAACGGGACCAGGCAACGAGGAATGAATGAGTGAATGAGGCCGGTGGGTCTGATGCGGAGAATGGGATTTTTATCTTGGCACCGAAGTACAGGGTAAAGAGCTGGGCTTGAGGGGTCGGGCAGACCTGAACTTGAATCTGTTCTCTGACCCTTCCAAGCCATGTAACCACGAGTAAGTTATAGCTCTTTCTGAGCCTCAGTTTCCTCACCTGTTAAGAGGATGATGGCCCTAACTTGCTGTACCTTCCTCGTAGGAAGTGAGGTGAAGGGAGGAGATGGAACCACACTGTGGACACGCCCACACGTCCATGGTTGTGGACGGAGTGAGAGGCTGGGTGGGGAGAGGACCCCTGCAGTCTAGCTGGCTCTGTCCCCCACTGGCCAGGCGTGTGGCCCTTTTAGGGTCTCAGTGGCCCGCAGTCTGCCTTCAGTCACCACTGTGGGTGTGAGTGGCCGGCACTGACCAGTGCCCTGGCTTCCTCCCAGTCCAGCTCCCGGAGCTCCTACTACGGGCCTTGGGGCCGCAGCGGGGCCTGGGCCAGCCGCCGCTCCAGCTGGAACAGCCTCAAGCACAAGCCGCCATCAGCGGAGCACGAGTCCCTGCTCTCCGCTGAGCGCGGTGGCGCCCCCCGGGCCCGCGAGGGCACCTGTGAGGAGGGTCCACCGCGGGCCGCGCCCCTGCACGCCCCACACGCCCACCACGTGCATCATGGTCCCCACCCGATGCACCGCCACCGCCACCACCGCCGGACGTTGTCCCTCGACACCAGAGACTCGGTGGACCTGGCCGAGCTGGGGCCCGCTGTGGGCCCCCACCCCCGGGCAGCCTGGAGGGCGGCAGGCCTGGCCCCCGGGCACGAGGACTGCAATGGCAGGATGCCCAGCCTCGCCAAGGAGGTCTTCACCAAGATGAACGACCGCCGGGACCGCGCGCAGGATGAGGAGGAGGTCGACTACGTGAGTGGGCGGGCTCTGGGGGCCAGGCCACAGCTCTGCTCAGACAGAAGAGGGAGCAGCCGCAGGGGCGGGGCTGGAGTCAGAGGGCCCCGTAGGGGACGCCTAAGGGGCACGGCCCACAGGGACAGGGCTGCTGGCTGGTGAGCAGGAGCTGCCTGCACCTGAGCTGGGCTCACCCCTTGGAGAGAAACCCGCCCCGCTGGCTTCACGAGGGGTGAGAGGTGAGGGTGCTGGTCTTGCTGGGAGAGTTCAGAGGTCATCCAGAGGCCTCAGTGTGCTGGACGGCAGGAGTGGGTGGACATGGGAGGCTCTGGGCAGTGCTGACCAGTCCACACCCCCTACTCTCCTTGCCAGACTCTGTGCTTCCGTGTGCGCAAGATGATTGACGTCTACAAGCCTGACTGGTGCGAGGTCCGCGAGGACTGGTCTGTCTACCTCTTCTCCCCTGAGAACAGGTGGGCAGGGCCAGGCCTGGGATGAGGTTAGACTAGAGGGTGCACAGTTCTGGGAGGGAGAGGTTTCTACAGAGCCAGAGAGGGCCAGTGCGGGGGACGGGGGGCCTGCCATACCTCAGAGGGCCCTCCTGCCCCTGTGGTAGAGGGGCTGCCGGGGAGGGGGAGTGTTGGCATGGGGACTTTCTGGGCCTCTCCTGTAGCCTAGGCCATCCCTGTCCTGGACACTAGGTTGACAGATCCCCAAGTAGCCTGGGCTGCTCCCATCTGGAGGGGGCGTGAGGCAGCTTCCTCCGGGAGGGGACTTTGTAGCCTTCTGTGGGTGCAGCAGGGTGGTGAAGAGGCGGAGGCTGGTCCAGGGGGAGGGAGCAGCCTGAGGGAAGGTCTGGGGCAGAAGCTTAGGTGTCACGCAGTGTGTGTCCCCATGGCTGGAGGGCCTTGAGTGCCAGGGCAAGGCGGGCACCCCGCCTCCTGTGGCTGTGGGAGTTGCCAGGGGGCGTGTGGTCAGGGGACGTGGCTCCAGGTGGGCACCCTGGGCAGGTGTGAAGTCTCCCCCGTGTGTGGCCGGAGGAGAAAAGGGTCAGCTTCTGCTAGGCCATCCGTGAGCTTAAGCCCTTGGCCTTCCCCTGGCTGGGGCGAACTCACGGCCCCCGCCCATTCCGCTCAGGTTCCGCATCCTGTGCCAGACCATCATTGCCCACAAGCTCTTTGACTATGTTGTCCTGGCCTTCATTTTCCTCAACTGCATCACCATCGCCCTGGAGCGGCCCCAGATTGAGGCTGGCAGCACTGTGAGTGGCTGGGGCCTGTGGGCAAGGGACAGGCGTGGGGCAGGCCATAGGGCCTACAATGGGACAGGCAAGGGGCCAGGGCCAGGGGGGCCAGGGGAGCTCAGCAAGGCAGATATTGATACCGTGTAGGAAGGGGTGGCAGGGAGCTTGTCTCTGGGGAGAGGGCACCTCCGTGGGCTGTGACGCGGCAGCCTCCCTGCGTGCCCCTTGGCTGCAGGCCGAGGTGACCGGAGGCCTGGCAGTTCTGGGGGCCCCGGGCCCATGGTATCTCCTGGCTCTTTCAGGAACGCATATTCCTCACCGTGTCCAACTACATCTTCACAGCCATCTTCGTGGGCGAGATGACACTAAAGGTAGTAGCTTTTCTTCACCGGGGACCTCTCCCACCGCCACCTGGGGAGGCGGGTAGAGAGGAGGTCCTGGCCCAGCCCACCCTCAGCTTGCCACTCACCTGCCCATCAGCTGCACTCCTCTGGGGCCCCCGAGGCCCACCTCCGCTTGGTACCAGCACTAGGCTATGGGGACCCAGAGGGTGGGGCCGTCCACGAGGCCCTGCTCTCCATGAGGCCACGGCCCGCCAGAAAGGTGAGTGCTGGGGAACCTGTAGCTACCTGTGTAGCTGTGAACTGGGTTTGGCAGACGTGCGGGGAGAGCGGACCGGAACAGCCCTTGGGCCTGCGTTACAGGGGGTATCCCCAGGGGCCCAGGCCTTCCGGGTCGGCCCATCGCCCACCTTCTGAGTGGGCGGTGGGGCAGGTGTCCTCTGCCCACCCTCCGGCTCCACCCTACTTGCCTGACTCTGCCCCCACCCCCACCCCTGACCTCAGCCACGCCCACCCTAGCGGAGCTGACGGACGCCCCCCCCCACCGCCCCGCCCCCAGGTGGTCTCGCTGGGTCTGTACTTCGGGGAGCAGGCGTACCTGCGCAGCAGCTGGAACGTGCTGGATGGTTTTCTAGTCTTCGTGTCAATCATTGACATCGTGGTGTCCTTGGCCTCGGCCGGTGGAGCCAAGATCTTGGGGGTCCTCCGGGTCCTGCGGCTCTTGCGCACCCTGCGGCCCCTGCGGTGAGGACTCCTCCGTGTTTGGGGAAGCCCCTGGGGTCTAAGTGGACCACTCGCTCCTGCCCTCCCCACCCACTCCGGCATGTGCCAAGCACTAACTGGGCAGGAGCCTGGAGCGAGTGTGTGCGTGTGCGCGTGCATGTGTGTATGTGAAGACCAGGGCTGAAGGTGGCCCCCAGGGTGGCTTCCCCTCGTCTCTGTGGCCCTGCGTGGCTCACTGCCGTCTCTGGGCCTCAGTCTCTAGTGCCCTGCTGTGCGTATCGGTCTGAGCCTGGGGCCACTGCCCTGGTGACTCTGGGACGACGGGGCTGGCTGTCTCCTGGGCTGGCTGAGGGCTAACAGCGCCCTCGGTCCCTCCTGCCTGCAGGGTCATCAGCCGGGCGCCTGGCCTGAAGCTGGTGGTGGAGACACTCATCTCCTCCCTGAAGCCCATTGGCAACATTGTCCTCATCTGCTGTGCCTTCTTCATCATCTTCGGCATCTTGGGGGTGCAGGTGAGGGGTGCCCAGGCTGGGCAGGCCCTGGGGTGGGCCCCAAGGTCGCAGAAGAGGCTCCTCACTCTCACCCAGCGCCCCGGCCCTGTGCTGGTTGACATGGGGGATCCGGCGGTCCTGGTGGAGCAGCCCCGGCCCCGCCGGCGGCAAGCTCCCAGGCCAGGGAGGGAGACAGGCACAGCCAACAGGGCCGAGTGCAAGGCAGGTGACACGGACAGGGCTTGGGCCCCTGGTGAGGGTCCCTTTACTCTCTCCCTTCCCGGGGGATAGGCAGGCGTCTTTCTCCCGTGGGCTCCCTGCCCAGCTCTTCAGTGCAGGTCCCGGTTCTGATCTCAGGTCTGTGGAAAGCCCACAAATCAGACAGACCAGGGTCTGAACCCTGGCTCTGGCACTTCCCAAACCTCATGTGACTTTGAGACAATTACCTGTCACCCCCAGGCCTCAGCCTCCTCCTCTATGAGGTGGGATGAGAGTAGCCGAGTAGCCGCCCCTCATGTCAGGGGGGTGTGGGGACGTGGTGTGGCCCAACGCTTGGCCCGGGCTATGCTGTGCAGAGGTGGCACCTCCTGAGGGGCCGTCCCTCTTCTGATCCGCACCCCACTGCCCCCCGGGAGTGTTGGCAGGATGGCCACTCACCCTGTGCCCCTTCCCCCAGCTCTTCAAGGGCAAGTTCTACCACTGCCTAGGCGTGGACACCCGCAACATCACCAACCGTTCCGACTGCATGGCTGCCAACTACCGCTGGGTCCATCACAAGTACAACTTCGACAACCTGGGCCAGGTGAGCTCCGCCCACAACACCTTCTTTACCTGATCACCCCGGGGGTGGGGTGACAGCTCTGTATGCCAGCAGCCTGGGAAGACAGGCCAGCCTCCAGCCCCGCCCTACCAGGACTGACCCTGGGATTGCCCCTTTCCAAACCTCTGTTGCCTCTTCTGTAAAACAGGTGGGAGCAGCGCCCCCTACAGGTGGCGTGGGGTTTAGAGATCCTGAGCACAGTGTCCAGCAAGTGCCTGACGCCTCATAGTTGCTTCAGTGGACACTGGTTCCTGGCCCCCACCCCCACCCCTGGGATTCTGGCAGGAATTAGGGTCGGCCAGATGTGGGTGTGAATCCTGGCTCTGCCACTCACTGTGGAGATTCACTTGTGCCCAGCCCCTGCCCCCGGGGTTCCTCTCCCATAGCCCGTGTACTCCGTTCTGCTCCCCCGTCCCCGGCAGGCCGCTGCCCAGGTCCTGATTCTCTGTTGGTCTCCTCTCCTGAGGGCATGCCAGGTAGTGGCCCAGATGAGAGCCCCCAGCCGGCTGCCTACAAAGAACCTCACTACCCACCCCCCACCAAATGCTCCCAAGTCTTAAAGGCTCACCCAGGTGGCCAGGTATGACCAGATGGGGAGGGAGCAGGATCCAGACTCCAGTGGCCCAGAGCCCGTGTCCCGCTGCTCTGCTGGGACCCTCCAGCCGGTTCCCTCTGGAGCTCTCACCCCACCTGACCAGAGATCCCACGCCCCATGCCTCCCGGGAGGCAAGCCAGGGGGCCACAGAGGGATAATGAGTGGCCAGGGGAAGGGCTCAGGACCCGGGACAGAGGCGCTGCCTCACCTCCTGCAGATTCTGCAGAAGCAGCGCCTTTTCACGTTATTAACAACTGAGTGGTTGGCAAAACAGATGTTTTAAAAAAGAAGCTCCCAAGAAGCTGAGGGAAAGCCAGTGGGGGCCTTTGAGGAGCCTCTCCTGACCCCTGCCCCAGTGCCAGGCCCAGGCCCCGGCTCCCAGGGAGCCAAGCAGCCCTCTCCGTTCTGAGCGTGCTAGATGCCAGGCCAACGCCCGGGCCCCCGAGCGGGCACGTTCAGCCCGCAGAGCTAACGGGCTGCCGCATGGTCTGGAGCCTCTGACTCCTCGCTGTGTGTCCTCGGGTGTGTCCAGCCCCTCTCTGTGCTTCATTGTCCTCGTCCATAAACTGGGACAGTGATAGCAGGTCTGGGATTCCCAGCCTCGGGCTCTTTGCGTGTCAGGCCCCAAGGGTCTACAGGGACCTTTGCCCCCAGCAGGAGAGCTCCTTGGGCCTCTCCAGCGAGGAGGCCTCCTCCGCGTCTCCTGCCCGGCCCCGCTCCTGGGCCCAGGCCCTTTCCAGGCCGCCCTCTGCGCTGTGCCCGGCTGGAAGGGATGAGGACGGGCCTGAGCCCTGGGTGGGTAGGAGGGGCCCGTGCAGGGCAGGAGACCCACCCCGGAACCTCACCTCCTGGCCAGGGCCCTGGGCCACAACAAATGGACAGCGTGGTGGAAGCACAGGAGGAGAAAGGTGTCCAGAGCAGGGTGTGTGCGCCCGGGGCAACCTCTGCTTGTCCGCACCCTCTGTGACCCCGCTCGCCCCCATCATGCTCGGGCTCTGCAAGGACGACATTGGCTCAGCCTAGCTCCGAAAACCTTTACTGAGCGCCTGCTGCGTGGAAGGCTCTGGGATGGGTGCTCTAGGCCCAGCCTGCAGCCCCGTTGAAGGGACAAGAGGCTTCTTTGGCTGCTGTCTGTGTAGGAGCCTTGGCTGGCTGTCTCCTGGGGATCACTTTGTCTCAAAATCTCCTGTTAGGGATGGTAATTACTGCCATTTATAGACAAGGAAGCTGAGCCATCAAAGAACTTGCCCCAAGTCACACAGCCATTTAGTGGCAGAGCTTGGGCTGCAACCCAGGGCTCCTGACTTCTCTTGTGAGCGCCTGCGTGCAGATGCTGGAGGCAAGCTTGGAGTGACAGCAGCAGGGACCCTTGCGTTCTTCAGGAACCTTCCAGTTTAAAGTCTCAGCTGACTCTCCCAACAAACCTGGCAGGCAGCCTTTTAAGTATTAGCTCTGTCCTGCGGGTAAGGGGTGAGAGCTCATGAATTTTCTTGCCTGGTTAATTATTTTTTTAACATTTTATTAATTTATTTTTAGAGGAAGGGCAAGGGAGGGAGAGAGGGAGAGAAACATCAACGTGTGGTTGCCTCTCACGCGCCCCATACTGGGAACCTGGCCTGCAACCCAGGCACGTGCCTGACTGGGAATCAAACCAGCGATCCTTAGGTTTGCAGGCCAGCACTCAATCCACTGAGCCACAGCAGCCAGGGCACTGGCTAATTTTTTTTTTTAAAGATTTTATTTATTTATTTTTAGAGAGAGGGGAGGGGAGAAGGAAAGAGGGAGAGAAACACTGACATGTGAGAGAAACATCAATCAGACGCCTCTCACATGTGCCCCACCCGGGGACCAGGCCACAACCCGGGCATGTGCCCTGACTGGGAATTGAGCTGGCCACCTTTCGCTTTGCAGGACGACGCCCAGCCAACTGAGCCATGCCGACCAGGGCATTGGCCAGGTAATTCCAGAGCTGAGACTGGAACCCAGGATTCCTGGTCCAGTGCTTGTTCTCCTGCAGCAGTGCTTGCAGGGCATATGGCAGGCACATAGTGGGTCCTCAGAAAAGCTTTGTCAGTTGAGGGTGCAGCTCTGCCCTCAACATGGGGAAGGCCTCTTGCCCCTCTGCCTCCCAGACAGAAACATGGGGAGATAAGGGGGCGCAGAAGCAACCTGAGCTGCTTGAGTCCATCACCTCAGGGTCCTCCTCCCATGTCTTCCAGGCCCTGATGTCACTCTTTGTCCTGGCCTCCAAGGATGGCTGGGTGAACATCATGTACAACGGGCTGGATGCCGTCGCTGTGGACCAGCAGGTGGGCGTGGCTGGGGCCAGGGCAGCAGGGAAGGGACATGGCGGCTTGGGGCCCACTGGTCTGAAGCTGGTGGCAGCAAGATCCACAGCTCCAGTGTCTCCCGTGGTCCCCTCACCATCCTGGCCTGAATCCTCCGCCAGTAGGGTCGCCCCTTGGATAGCGAAAGTCATTGTTCTATTTGCTTCAACAAAGCCCCCTGCTCTGTAGGGACAGGCCCGCACACTGCCCCCTGCCTGGAGGGGTGCACAGCCTCGTGGGTGGACAGGGGCTGAGCCAGCTGGAGGGGGACAGCAGGTGTGGGCCAGAGGCAAGAGAGTGACGTGGATTTGAAAGTGGGGTGGGTGGGACGGGGTCAGGGAGGGGGTTGAGCCTGATAGGAGGCCTGAGCTCTTGCTCCCAAGATGCCCTGAGAGCAGGGGTCCCTTCTGGGGCCAGCCAGGGAATGAGAATACTTGGGGCACCTTCCTCCACGGCTTAGTCTGTCTCCCCTGTCCTGCCTCCCGCCGCCACGTGGACTCCCCCAGGGATGTGCTTTCCCTCTGCTGGCTGCCGTATTTCTGGGTAGATGAAAAGCGGACGGGTAGATGGATGGATGGTTGGACAGGTGGATTGGTACATGATGATGGTGGGTGGACCGAGGAGTAAGTGGGTGGATGGGCAGATGGACGGATGTGGATGAGTGAGTGATGAGTGGGTGGGTGGATGGATGGATGGATGGATGGGTTGATAAATGATGGATGAAGGGTGAACAGATGAATAAGTGGGTGGAAGGGTGAGTGGGAAGGTGGATGGGTGGGTGGGTGGCGGGGTGGGTGGGTGGGTGTGAGGAAGAAGACAGGTGGATCTGTGTCCAGGAGGCAGCAGCCGCAGCAGGGAAGGGGAGGGGCTCTTTGCTGAGCACCTTCCTTGTGCCAGGCCAGGGTAGGCACTTCCTACCCGGTTCCTGCTTCAAACCCCTCAGCCACCTGGGAGGTGGCTCTCTCAGTGTCCCCACTGCCCTGAGGCTCAGCGCGTAGCCCCCCCCCCCCCCCCCCACACCACGGCAGGCCCTGCGGGGGTCAGCCTGCCTCAGCCCCATCTGGCTCCCTGCAGCCCGTGCCCAACCACAACCCCTGGATGCTGCTCTACTTCATCTCCTTCCTGCTCATCGTCAGCTTCTTCGTGCTCAACATGTTTGTGGGCGTCGTGGTGGAGAACTTCCACAAGTGCCGGCAGCACCAGGAGGCCGAGGAGGCGCGGCGGCGCGAGGAGAAGCGGCTGCGGCGCTTGGAAAAGAAGCGCCGGAGTGAGTGGGTGCCCTCGAAGGGTGGGGGCCGCCCTGGCCCTGGGCCCCCTCTGCCCGCTGCTGCTGATGCCCCTGGGTGCCGGGGCGGGGGCCTGGGACCAACACCAGCCTCTGGGCCTTGGGAGCTGGGAGGGACAAGGGATACAGCCCCTGTGCCCCGGCCCCGCCCCTTGCCCCGGCGTCTGCCGGACTGGGTGACCTGAGCCCTGTCCATGTCCACCCGGAGCCTGAAGGTGACACCAGTGTCATCCAGGTGCCTCAGTCCAGGCAGAAGGCGAAGGCAGAGCCTGGGTGCCTGACCCTGAGCAGTGGGACCCCAGTCCCCATCCCCAGCAGGCCTGGAGCCCCTGTCTGGACCCTTTTGGGGTGGACGGGGAGAACCCCCACATCTTACCCGTTTCCCCTCTGGCCCCCTGGCTGGGTGGTGGGGACCTAACTCTGACTCCCAGGACCTGGGTGGACTGACACCTCTCCCCCTCGCTTCCTTCCCACCTCGGCCTCTCCCTCCACGCCTCTGCCACCCTTTGTGATCCGTGGCCCTCCCCCGCACGCCCGGCAGAGGCCCAGCGGCTGCCTTACTATGCCACCTACTGTCCCACCCGGCTGCTCATCCATTCCATGTGCACGAGCCACTACCTGGACATCTTCATCACCTTCATCATCTGCCTCAATGTGGTCACCATGTCCCTGGAGCACTACAACCAGCCAACGGTGAGCCCTAGCCCTGACCCTAGCCCAGGGTCCCCAAGTGGGCGGGGCCTCAGCGGGGCCCCAGCCCAGGAGCAGGTCCTGAGCAGCCCCCGCCCCGCCCCCACCATGCTGGGTCCTATGCCCGGGAAGCTCAGGGCCTGGCAGGACCGGTGAACAAAAGAGAGGGGCCAGAGAGGGAAGTCTCTCATCTCTGGTGAGTGGGGAGGTGACATTGGGGCCCCGCCGGGAACATGGGTGACAGGAGCTGTGGTGCGTTTAATGTGACTTTGCAAGGCACGCTGCAGGTTTCAACCCTCACAGCAACCCTAAGGTGGGAGGGGGGTTTCCTCCAGGTTTGGTAGGTGAAGAAGCTGAGGCTCCGAGGGGTAAAAGATGCTGCTCCAGTGGGTCAGTCGGTCTGCAGTGGGGCCAGGGCTGGAGCTTTGGCCCGCAATCAAGGACGGCCACGTGGCCTCCGCTGCTACCTGGGCATGTGGAGCCTGAGGGCAGGGCAGTCCAGGTGGCAGGGCTGTTAGGGGCAAACACAGAGGTGGGAGAGGGTGACCAGCTCCCAGCCGGCGGTGGGCAGTGTGCATGAGGGGCCCGCGAGGGGCACGTAGGGGCAAGTGCATCCCCAAAGCTTCCCCTTACCCGAGATGGGGGAGGAAGAGGCGAGCAGAGCCCCAGGTGAGGGGTTAGCAACCTATTTTAAATGATAGGAGGGAACTGTTACATGTGCAGGGAAAAGGAAGGTGACCTTTAGCAGAAAGGAACAACAGTTGCGGAACTTCCAAATTTGCCCCAAGCAATGGAATAATAATAGCTCACATTTACCAAGTGTTTAAGTATGTAGTTCAGCCTGGTGCAGGCTATGAGCTCACTTAATTTTCACAGCAGCTTTCAGAGGTAAGGGACTGTTACCACCCCCAGTTTATGGATTGGAAAACTAAGTCCCTGAGAGGTCGAGGGACTCGCCCAAAGTCAGAATGAACAAGAGTTCAGTGCCAAGCCCCCGTTCAAATCCAGGCAGCCTGGTTCTTAACCACGACCCCACACCATTACCCAGCACGGCTTCCAAAGAGGGCTCCCTGGGCCAAACCAGCAGAAATGAGGAAAAGGGAACAGCCGTGTGAAATAAGTAGCGCCCGTCACAGGAGATGGAAGGAATAAAAGCAGATACCTTGGTCATTGCGCCAAAGGTGAAGGGATTAAATTCCCCTCTTCAGAAGCAGAGACGTGCCGACTGGAGGAAGGTGGGGACAAGTCATGGGGCCTGGTTCATGCTTCTCTTTGCCCCCCACCCCCCATAGTCCCTGGAGACCGCCCTCAAGTACTGCAACTACATGTTCACCACTGTCTTTGTGCTGGAGGCTGTGCTGAAGCTGGTGGCGTTTGGTCTGAGGCGCTTCTTCAAGGACCGGTGAGTGGCTGGGCCAGGCCGTGGCAGCAGAGAAGAGACTGCAGGATGGAGAAGCTGCCCTGATCCCCAGGGAAGCCTAGAGCAGCGGGCGGGGACTAGGAAGTGGCTGCAAGCTGATGGCCGGGGCCCCTGTGTGCACCCTACAGGCCTGAAGGGGAAGTAGCTGTGGTCCTGCCCGATGAATTGGGGCATTCTACCACGTGTCCTGAGCACACCACTCCATAGGCCGAGCGGGCAAGCCCGTTCTTTTTCAGAGGGAGCCCATAAGGTTCAGAGAGGTCGACAGGCTAGTCCTAGGCCACACAGAAGGAACAGCAGACTCAAGATTCAGAGCTCAAAGTCAGAACCATTTCTTCTTTCCTGCAAGAGGCCAGATATTTATTTAGCCTGGTCAGCCCCTTGCTTGAGGAATTGGAGGCTGACCAGGGGCAGAGAGGGAGCTGGACTTAGCGGGGTCTGGAGCGGGCTAGTCAGGAGGGTGTCCACACATCCCCACCGGCCACAGCCGGAGCGTGGAGAGCTGGGCAGCTCCTCTGGACCGAGGCGTGTCTGTACTAGAGGGGCTCTCACTTGGCCCCTCACTGCTGTCTGCCCGAGCAGGTGGAACCAGCTGGACCTGGCCATCGTGCTGCTGTCTGTCATGGGTATCACGCTGGAGGAGATCGAGATCAACGCGGCCCTGCCCATCAACCCCACCATCATCCGCATCATGCGGGTGCTGCGCATCGCCCGGGGTGAGGGTGGAGGCCGGGCCGGAGGGGGTGGGCCCCCCCCCACGCATGGTGGGCTCCCTGCTGATCAGGGAGAACAGGAGGGGCTCACACCGGACTTGCTCAGCACCCCCGCCCACAGACGCTCTGCAGAGCACACTGCCCCCACCTCCGTTTCACACCAGGCCCCTGCGGAGCAGTCTTAGGGGGGATAAAGGGTGCCAGCGCAGTCGGGGTGCCTCGCCGGCACTTCTCTGACACCCGCTGGGACACGCGAGCCTCAGCGCTTCTTAAAATCCCTTTTCTTCTCCAGCCCGCCCTCTCCCCTCAAGGCTGCCCCTTCCCCCAATTCTTTCAGAAACCTCCTGTCTCAGTGCTCACCCAGGTGCCTCTAACTCTTCCACCCGCACCTGCCTGTGGCCTCCAGATCCCCAGGTGGGGATGGGTATTGGGGAAACAGCGGGACGCTGGAGGCCTCTTTAGCCACAGGAAGAGACGTGGGCACGCCCAGGAGGTCATGTCTGCCTCATTGCCATGAACTAGGCGCTCACTCACATTGTTTTTCTCACTCACACACTGGTTTTCTCACTCACACACTTTCTGTCCCCGGCTCCCCCTGGGCGCGCCCTCCTTCTCTTGGACTTTTTACACCGATGTCCGCGCGTCGTGTGACACATTTTTGTGCACACCCTGCTCACTCTGTAGCTGCGCCCTGTTCTCGTGGCATTCACACTCACACACCGCGTGCGCGCGCGCCCCTCGGGCCTGGGCTGAGCGGGCTGCTGCGTGTCGCCCGCAGTGCTGAAGCTGCTGAAGATGGCCACGGGCATGCGGGCCCTGCTGGACACCGTGGTGCAAGCTCTGCCCCAGGTAAGGGCCGTGCCTGCGGCTGCCCCTCCTGCCTGTTGCTGGTGTCCCGCTGGGACCTGGGGGCGCAAGCCCTGACTTCCCTTCTCCCTAAACCTGCCCGGAGCCAGCATGCGAGCTGGTCTCCAGGAAGCAGTTTGAGCTGGGGCTGGTGAGAGAACGGGTCCCCCCTGCCTCTTTCTTTCTGATGTCACCAACTATGCTCCAACCCTTCTCTGTACCGGGCCCGGGGCTGGCCCGTGGGGACCCACATTCTGCCTTCAGGAGTCACCAGGCTGGTAGGGAAGACAGACGCCCCAGAGCAAGGCGGCGAGGGACCCGCCCTGTGCTGGGAAGAGACCAGGGGCCCGGACACAAACTGAGGGAATCGGGGAAGGTGTCAGGGGACTTTGAGCTTGACCTCGTAGGGTGGTGGGCAGAGGGAAGGGGTGATGTGGACGGACAGGTTCTGACATTCTAGGAAGGGCGGCATGAGACCCTGAGCTGGATGCAGACCCTGCACGTTAGGAAAGCAGCCCCCTCACCCCACATCCCATTGGTAGTGGAAAGGACATAGGGGCAGGGACCCAGAGGGGCGATCGTCCATCCTCCCGGGAACGCTGCAGCCCCAGCCTGTCCCTCACTGCTGTCCTGACTACTACGGCTCCCCTTCTCCCTCCCCTCAGGATGGCCTCCGCTCTGAGGTGAGCCTCGCACACGTTCATTTATTCCTCATGACTCATCAGGGGCAGCACACTAAAAACAAGGACAAAAGATTAACAGCTCAGGGAAGGTGAAAGCAAAGCCAATTTTTGCAGTGACCTGGACTGAGAATGTTAGCGAGTTCTCCTCTTGAGTTTGGTGTGAGCTTCCCAGCAGCCCAGTTGCAAAGGGAAAGCAGCTTAACTCTCACCAGGTCTGGATGGAAAACAGGGACGTTCAAAGAGATGTGTTTTTTTCCTGACACTAAACCCCCTCAAAAGAATTTGCCACATGGAAGATGGGGGCGAGTGCTGGGCTTGGGGGTGTGCAGACAGGAAGTTGGTGGAGCCCAGACTCAGGCTGGCTACCCTGCCCTGGGGCCAAAGCCTAGTCCCCTGTGAGACCCTGGGCATGTAACTCACCTCCTCATGCCTTGGTTTCCTTGGCTATGAAATGGGGGTTGATAATAGTGTTTATCTCAAAAGGGTGTTGTGAAATTTAAAGTAGTTATAAAGGGCTGAACGAGACCAGGGTCATAGGACATGCTGTATAAGAGTCTGCTAAGGATAAGGATGGGGGTAGTTAGGGTTACGGTTCTGACCCCTAGGCATTCCTGGGTGGGTCCCCAGGCCAACCCTGAGTTGGCACAGGGCACATGAAGATGCCTAGGGGGGGTCCCTGGCTCAGTAGTAATTACAATTACGTTAGACTTCAAGAGCCTCATGTGCCAAGTACCATGTGGCACAGCGGGAGGCTTCCCCCTTGAAATCTATTAGCTGGCCCTGGACATTTCCTTGGTTCTCTGTAAAGTGCTATGAAAATGAAGCTTTAACCCTGGCCAGTGTGACTTGCTTGGTTGGAATGTTGTCCCGTGACCGAAGGTTGTAGGTTCAATTCCCGGCCCGGGCACTTACAGGAGGGAACCAGTCAATGCTGCTCTCTCATGTCGATGTTCCTCTGTTTCTAAAAGCACTGAGAAAATGTCCTTAGATGAGGATTAAAAAAAGAAAGAAAGAAAGACACTTGAGCCCCTTCTGTCCCACGCAGAGGGAGGAGGCCTCAGGGAAGGCTCCTGAGGGGAGGCGCCTGTGCCCTGGACTTTGAGGGGTGGGGCGGGGGCATTTACCAGTCAAAGACCCAGAGTGGGTCTTTCCTGCAGAAGGAACAGAATATGCTAATGTGGTCTGTTTCTCCCAAGGCTGGAGTCAGGCCGGTGGGTCTGCAGGGCCAGGCCACGCCTCTGATGCCAGGACAGCAAACTTGGGCTTCCCCTGCAGGCAGTGGGCCCACGGGAGGTTCTGGACCAGGGAGGCCTCAACCTGTTAGCAGGTTGCTCTCGCGACTCAGAGGAGAATCAGAGGGGAGGGCTGAAGGGACAGGCTGGAGGCAGGGAAGTGGGGGAGGGGGGAGGCTGCAGCTGCGCAAGCTCTGGAAGATGCTGAGGGAGGGGGGACGGACTGATATGAAAGATGAGGTGGCTCTGACTGGCCTGGCTCAGTTGGGTATCATCCTGCAAATCAAAAGGTCGAAGGTTCAATTCCCAGGCAGGGCACATGCTGGGTTGTGGGTTCGGTCCGCGGTCAGAGTGCATGCGAGAGGCAACAAATTGATTGATGTTTCTCTCACATCGATGTTTCTCTCCCTCTCTTCCCCCTCTTTCTAAAATTAAATAAATTAAATGTTAAAAAAGAAAAAGAAAAGGAAAGGTGAGGCGGCCACTGGTTAACACATGCTGCCGACTGGGGCCTGCGGAGGGCGGGACGCGGAGCTGAGGGCCCAGCCACTGCTGCGCGCTCCCCTCGGCTGCCGGGGCCGCGTGTCGTGCCTCAAAGGTGTTCAGTCAGTGCCTGTGATATTAATGAATGAGCATCATTTAATTAGTCAGACACTGCTGGTATGATTGCGGAGCAGCTCGGAAGGGAACCCCCCTCTGGAGCAGAAACAACATTAGGAGGCTGTGGTGAACATGGTTTACTTTTCAGCAATTAACGCGAATGTCTTCTGACTCATTCATGCAGGTCTTCTGCGGGGTCTAGGAGCTTTTTCATTTCTAGGGCGGGAATGTGTCGGAGCCTTATCTTATCCCCAACATGAGTTAAAGGCGGTCTCTAGCATATGGATAGATTTGAAATAGGTTTGGAATCTGGGACGTTTCCCTCCCACAGGAGCTGTGGGACAGGAGCGGCTGGGTGTGCAGGGGGCTCTGGGGCCCGCAGTCCTGCGTGATTCCTCGGCCCACCCCTCTCCGTGGCCGGGCTCCGTGCTGGTCTGAGGAAGCGGATCTGACTTAATCCAGTCACGGACCTGCTCTCCAGGACTTCCCAGACCAGCAGGGGCAGTGGCCAGGACACACTGGTTACACTCACACTGTCTGGCTGCATCCCAGTCTGCCTGGAGGAATCTGGGAATCTGGGCAGGCTTCGTGGAGGAGGTGGCATTATTGCTGAGACGTCCTTCCTTCCTCTCTGTATTCACCCCCGGGATGGCACTAACCGAGCACAGGTGCACAGAGTAGCAATTGTGTGCACGGACCCTGGGGCCAGTGGGCTGGGTGTGAATCTCAGTCCTACTGCGTGCTAGCGGTATGACCCTGGGCAAGGTTCTTCACCTCAGGATGTTTCCTTTTTTATTTGAAGAACGGGGTAAAACAGAGTTTGTGGGTCATCATGTGGCGTAAGTGAACCAATGAACGTGACTACTTTGATCCAGGCCACTGACAGGAAAGGCGTCACAAGCGTGTTATCATTATCCCGTGCCCCGAGCTGGGCCCAGCCTGCCCCCAGGAGGCCACGCGGGGAGTGGCAGGCATGGGCGCAGGGCCTGGGGAAGTGCTACGGCTGCCCTGACCCTCAGGCTGGCCCGCCCGCGAGCCATCCCCAGGCCTGGCCCAGCCCCACCCGCTGTCTCCACAGGTGGGCAACCTGGGCCTCCTCTTCATGCTGCTCTTCTTCATCTACGCCGCCCTGGGAGTGGAGCTCTTCGGGAAGCTGGGTGAGCGAGGCAGGCCTGGGTGGAGGCGGGCCGGGTCTGGAGGAGGGTCCTGGCGGGGGAGGCCTGAGAACCCCCAGACTGCCCCATCAGGGTTTTTGTTTTGGGGAGATGCCCTCACAGCAGGCCGTGGTGGGGGTGGGGGGTAGATGGGCGGCCTCTGCCATCCATATGGCACCTCCCTCCCGTGTGGCTGGGAGCTTGTGAGAGATGCTGGCCTGGGTCCACGTGCCCACCCTAGGCCTATGCCATGGACCCTCACTTGGAGCCTCCCCGTTGTCTGACCCCTGGGCATGTCCTCCGGCCCCACAAGCCAGTGTCCATCCTGGGCCAGGGCCACCGCTATAACCAGAGCAGCCATGGCAATACAGGGTCAGCTCCAGAAAGCAGGGCTCGCTGGGGGACCAGCCCTCGCCCACCCCATGTTCTCCCTGTGGAACTGATACTTGGGTTGGAGGAGGAGCCAGGCTCCTCTGAGCCTGAGCCGCAGCTTGGGTACCACCTCCCTGAGCCTCAGTTTCTCCATCTGTGGGCCGGGCTCAGTCTGCACGCACCTCCGAAGGTTGTGGCGGGGATTCTGAGGGGAGGCGGGGCAGGCCGTGCAGCGGGATGGCTGACTCCCTCCCTTTCAGTCTGCAATGACGAGAACCCGTGTGAGGGCATGAGCCGGCACGCCACCTTCGAGAACTTCGGCATGGCCTTCCTCACGCTCTTCCAGGTCTCCACCGGTGACAACTGGAACGGGATCATGAAGGTACTTGCGGGCAGGCTGGGGAGGGAGAGCTCAGGCTGGGCTCTCAGGAGAGCGAGGTGCTGGTGATAGTCGCGACAGGGCGGCCCTCCGCCTGCCGAGCAGGGAGCAGGGCCCGGAGGCAGGGAACCCTGCCCGGGACCGGGCATCACCGTGGGGTGTCGAGGAGGCCGGAATGGGCTCTCTGTCCGCCCGAATCGCTGGGTGGTGCTCAGATCAGTGCTTGGGTGCTGGGGGCCATGACTCCACCCAGGGCCAGCGGGGACCATAGTCACTGCTCCTCCTGGGGCCGGACCCCGGCACTTCGGCACCCCCCAAACCCCCCGCCCCAGCAGAGGCCCTCTGGCTCCGGCCTGGGGCTGCGCGAGGAGGGCAGGGCTCAGGAGGCGAGGCCTGTGCCTGGAGACCCTGGGGCCCTCACGGCCCTCCCCGCCGGCACAGGACACGCTGCGGGACTGCACCCACGACGAGCGCAGCTGCCTGAGCAGCCTGCAGTTCGTGTCGCCGCTCTACTTCGTCAGCTTTGTGCTCACGGCCCAGTTCGTGCTCATCAACGTGGTGGTGGCTGTGCTCATGAAGCACCTGGACGACAGCAACAAAGAGGCCCAGGAGGACGCCGAGATGGATGCAGAGCTCGAGCTGGAGATGGCCCAGGGCCTGGGTCCCAGCCCGCGGCCGCCCGCCGGCTCCCCGGGTGCACCCGGCCGGCCGCCCGCGGGGCCAGGCGGCGGGGGCGACCCGGAAGGCCGCCTGTGCCGGCACGGCTACTCTCCAGCCCAGGTGGGCAGGGGCCGGGGTCACCGAGGGCAGGACCTGGGGGCTGCCAGTGAAGCTGGCCCGGGTGGCCTGGGCAGAGACTTCTGTCTTTCGGGCCCCACCCCTGCTGCTCGGCTCTGTGAGACCCTGTGACGAGTGGGTCAGGCCCGGGCCACAGGCCACAGGCCACAGGTGCAGAGAACCGGGAGGGCAGCTGTGCCCGCCCACCCCGCAGTCCCCACCCAGTGATAATCCCACCTGTCCCTGCCCATCCTGTCCGCCTAGGAGAATCTGTGGCTGGACAGCGTCTCTTTAATCATCAAGGACTCCTTGGAGGGCGAGCTGACCATCATTGACAACCTGTCTGGCTCCATCTTCCACCACTACGCCTCGCCGGCCGGCTGCAGGAGGTGCCATCATGACAGGCAGGAGGTGAGGCTGGCCCCGGCACTGGGCCGGCCTGCGGGAGAAGCCTCGCCCTGGGCAGAGGCCTGCCCGTCGACTTGGCTCATGCCGGCCAGCCGCCAGGGACGCTTGGCCTGTGGACAGGTGGACCAGTTTTGGGGCTCACAGCTACGGCAACTCCCCTGCCCTTGGCCCAGGCCGTGCCTGGCCCTCTGTTGGCTGTGAGGCCGTTGTGTCTCCCCCAGCCCCCTGACCCCCGCCTAGGCTGGGCTGCCCGCCCAGGGTGGGCATACCATCCATGCTCGGCAGGTCTCTGAACCTCTCTGGCCACTGCCCAGCGCCTTTCTGGGCGACCAGGCTTGCCCGATCCCAGCTCCACGGGTGACCCGAGGCTGCCGCCTCTGCAGGTGCAGCTGGCCGAGACGGAAGCCTTCTCCCTGAACTCAGACAGGTCCTCATCCATCCTGCTGGGCGATGACCTGAGTCTCGACGACCCCACAGCCTGCCCCCTTCGCCCTAAAGACAGCAAGGTGAGCGGCCGCAGTGGGCTCCTGGGCAGGCAGGCCAGGCTGTCCTTGTCGCCTGCCCAGCCAGGACGCTGCGTCCTCCCAGGACACCACGTAAGCAGCACCTGCTGCGTGCCAGGCCCTGGTCTCTTGTGGGTCAGATGAGGACAGTGGGCCTTAGAGAGATGTAGCGAGTCACACAGCAACATGTTCAGCCGGGACCCCGAGCGTGGCATCCAGTGGCCTTGGCCGCTCCTTGTCGCTTTGGATATTTTTTATCCAAGTAAGAACCCCCCACTGCCCTCAAGGATCTCAGGATCAAAAAGCGGGCAAGCGGGAAACTGACCTGCCTGGGACATCAGAGAGGCGGGAAGGGGGCCCTTTTACCTGGGTTTTAGAAGATGACGACTGTTGGCCAGGTGGACAGAGTGAGGAGGAGGCCATCCAGGCATCGAGAGCGGCCTGAGCAAAGGACTGTGGGTCGGGGGCCTGAAGGCAGCTGTGGTGGGCTTGGCCCCTGCCGCCGCCGCCATCCTAACCCATCTCCCTCCCTTTTCCTGCAGGAGGAGCCAGACACACCCGAGCCTGGGTGTGCGGGGGACCCAGGTGAATGCTTCTTCCCCTTGTCCAACGCGGTCGTCCCCTCCGGTCCAGAGAACTTCCTGTGCGAGATGGAGTCCATCTCGTTCAACCCCGTCCGGTCCTGGCTGAAACACGAGGGCACCCAAGGTGAGCGCTCAGCCCCCCACCCGCTCCCCACAGCCCTGTTCTTGGGCGGCTGCTTCAGAGGCGGCTGGTTGAGTTTTTGCCTTAGCATTTTTTCCCAGACTATTATATTGAGTTGGGAAAGAAACAGATAAATAACTGACAATAAAAGATAGAAATCTCAGGCTGGATATAACAATGATTAAAGCTCAAGAGCCAAACAATACAGAGAGATGAGATAAAAATAATGCCAGAAGCCTGGGCAAGGGAAGGCTTCCCGCTGAGCTTCCCGGGAGCAGCAGAGAAAAGGAAAGCAGATTGGCACACACAGCTCTCATCATCGAGCGGACAGAACGCTGCTGGGCTACTGGGGGGCTTTTCTGGAGCTGAATTTGAGAGGTGTGTATCCCACGGATCTTCACACAAGGTGATGTTGAACAACAGAGAGCTCGCTGCCCCCTCTGGCCTATCCATAAAATGTCCTGATGGTTGTTTAACCTTTGGCTGTCCCCTGGCGCCCTGAGTTTGTGGCATGGCTCGGCTGTGGCACCAGGGCAGAGGACAGAGCTGGCCTGTTGATCACTAGGGCCTCCCTTCACCTTGAGTCCTCTTAGAGGGTGACAGGAATCTGGTTTCACAGCACTGGCTGAGGGAGGGGACAGAGAGATGAGCTCAGCAGAAGAGGGGTCCTTGAGCGCACCTCAGTACTCTTGTGGGAGGCCTGGCATCGAGCCCTGTCCAGGAGCTGGGGGTGGAGTGACTGTCCCAAGGCCCTACCCTAAAACCAGTGGCCTCTGGACTGGACATGGTGGCTGAGGGGCTGAGTGAGACCCCAGATTTCCAGAACCAAAAGTCAGGGCACAGGACCCAAGAGCCATGCTGATCAAATGAAAGCTCAGGCCCTTTGTGAACCATGTGTTTATATTTTCCTTAAATCATAAGATGATGCAGAATAGAAGTCCTTGCACCTAGGGATAGGCAAGCTGTCCAGCCACCTTGGGTACCTGTTCCCCAATTCCTTCATTCCATCCTCAGCCTAGAAGGGACTGGCTGAGGGGGCCGTGGGCAGAGGCTCCTGGCCGTCCCTGCGGCCTGGCCCTCATTTTCCCCTCGTCCTCGCCTCGTCCCTGCCCCTGTCCTCCCGCAGTGCAGCTGACCGGACAGATCCAGCAGCGCTCCTCTAACGGCTCAGCCCGTCCAGTGCCCCACCTGCGGTCCGTGATGGGCCCCCAGCCTGGCCAGACCCCGCGGGGTGTCGGGCCCTGGTTGTGGCACCCTTAACACCGGCTTTGCTCGTCCTGTCCACCTCTCGAGGGAGGCACCCGGTCCCTGTTTCACAGAGGCAGGAGCCCAGGGGTCCTTGAGCCAGGCCTGCGTGGCTCCAAAAGCTGTGCCTTTGCCCAGCGCCTGTCTTCCCAGGATTCCCATGGACAGGCTCGCCATTTCTCTCTTGCCTTCAGAGTGGGGACTTCGAGGCTTAGAGAGGGCGGCTTGCTTATAGTTTTATGGTGGCTTCCTAGGCGCCCTCTCCCTGTCAGCCCACCCTGCAGGGGCTTGCCAGCCTGAGCCTGCTCCCCAGCTCCCTCTCCCTGCTCCCCAGCAGCGCCTTCGAGCCCGCTCCTGCCCATGCCCGCGGAGTTCTTCCACCCCGCTGTGTCTGCCAGCCAGAAAGGGCAGGAGAAGGGCGCTGGTGCCGGGACCCTCCCCAAGATCGCTCTGCAGGGCTCCTGGGCATCCCTGCGGTCACCAAGCGTCAACTGCACCCTCCTCCGGCAGGTATGGCACCTCCCTGACTCCGAGAGCTCCCTCGCTGGGGGACACCTGAGTGGGCCTTGGGGTTCCAGGCGGAGGCGCAGGCGCAGGCCTGGGAGTGGGCGGCTTCGGCCTGCAGGGCCGCCTGCATTGGATGCCAGGGCCACCACCGGGGCAGGCGGAAGAACCTGCAGACCCAACAGCCCATTCTGTGGGGGGCGGACCAGGGTTCAGGGAGAGGCAGGAGCTGCCTCGACCCCACAGTGTGGTGGAGGTGGGGCTGGGTGCCGGTGCTCCCAGGCGCTGGTTCGTTCAGTAGCTGTCTTCCCCAGCTAAGTGCCAGGGTGTGTGCTGGGCCCGGAGGCTGCAGCAGCTACGGAAGGCAGAACCCCTGCCCCTGGGGCTTACGGTTTGTGTTTAGTGTGTGCGTTTCTGAAAAGCTGATGTCAGTCAGTGCATAAAGAGTAGGGTCTGCTTGGTAGTGACACACACTGGGGAGAACACTGCACAGGAAAGGGGCCCACGGGGTGAGCTGGGGACTTGGGGGAGGGGCTGGGAAGGCCCGAGGGGCAAGCTGTCGGTCTCTGGGGAGGAGCTTTCCAGGCAGAGCAGAGGTGGGGGGTGGGGGTGGGAAAAGAGGTCCCAGAGGGGTGGGGCGGGTCTCTCGGGCCAGGGCCTGACTGGGTGTGAGTAGGATGAACCTGGCTGCCCCGTGAGGACCAGCGGGCAGGGTGGGGTGGAGGGCCCAGTCGGAGCCACTCCAGGGATTGTTGTGAGAGCCGCCCAGAAGCTCCGGTGGGCAGTGGCGGGTGCAGGGGGGAAGCAGTGGGGAGCTGGGTGTGCTGTGAAGGCTGTTCCTGAGGAATCAGAGAGCCGCGTGTCACTGAGATGGGCAGGCAGCTGGAAGGGCGGGGTGGGGACACCAGGCAGCCCCCGTCCCCTCGTCTCCCCGCAGGCCACAGGGAGCGACACGTCGCTGGAGGCCAGCCGCAGCAGCTCCGCGGGCAGCCTGCAGACCACGCTGGAGGACAGCCTGACGCTGAGCGACAGTCCCCGCTGCGCCCTGGGGCCGCCCATGCCCACCCCCGGCCCCCGGGCGGGCCTGTCTCCCGCCGCCCGCCGCCGCCTCAGCCTTCGGGGCCGGGGCCTGTTCAGCCGGCGCGGGCTGGGCGCGCATCAGCGTAGCCACAGCAGCGGGGGCTCCACCAGCCCGGGATGCACCCACCACGACTCCATGGACCCCTCGGACGAGGAAGGCGCAGGCCGGGGCGGCGGGGGCGGCGGGGGCGGGGGCAGCGAGCACTCGGAGACGCTCAGCAGCCTCTCGCTCACCTCCCTCTTCTGCGCGCCGCCTGCGCCGCCGGGGCTCCCGCCCGCCAGGAGGTTCAGCAGCACCAGCAGCCTGGCCACCGGCCCCGGTCGCCCCCGCGCCACCGTCGGGCCCCACGGCCTGGCCCGGAGCCCCTCCTGGGCTGCCGACCGCAGCAAGGACCCCCCGGGCCCAGTTGAGCCCCCGGGAGAGCTGCAGCCCGCAGACGCTGCGAGCAAGAGGAAGAGATGAGGGCTGCAGGGGCCCAGCTCTGCCGCCGCCCGCCCGTCTCACCTTCTTTACCTCAGGAGCCAGGGGGAAGACAGCAATACTCGGTCCTCAGCCCGGGCACCACGCAGGGCCGGCCAGCGCCAGGCGGCCGAGAGCACGGTGGAGCCGCGTCTGGGTGGGCCGAGGCCCAGACATGGCCCGGCCATGGTCCTTCCCATGCAGATACATGTATATATATATGTATGCATATATATAGAGAGAGACAGACATATATATATATATTTATTTTTTTTACTGAGAGTTTACGACTTCCAGAAAGTGCTAAAGTTGGGGAATGCAGGTGTGAGCCCAGAAAGGGCTTTTTGCCTGATGCTTGGGACCCCGGCCAGACCTGCCCTGGGGCAGATGGTCCTGCTGGGGTGTTGGCACCTCTACTTTTTGGCATCTCCCCTGGGTTTGGAGTAGCTCGGAGAGGGCTCTCAGTTCTCCGAGGGTCCCTTGGCCCAGGAGACAGGCCCAGGAAAAGGGGTGTCATTCAGGGTGCGTTTTTTTTCCTTTAAAGAGGAGATGCTGCTAAGATCCCACCCCCCTTCCCCCACGTATCGGGGTGTCTGTCTTGTTCCTGACTGTCCAGCTGTGTGAACAGTCTTTTGTAGGCTTCCACAGTCCACAAACCCTTAGTCAGCCAGTTGTGTTTCTTTAGAAAAATCAGGGGTGATAGTTTTGTATTTTCTTAGGGCTCGATGGGGCAGGGAGCAGCTGGGGGCTCTGTCCCCGCGGCGCCTGCCCCCGTGGGCACTTCCCAGGGTGGGTCTGCTGTGGCCTTGCCCCCTGGAAGCGGAGGGCAGGACTGGAGGCAGCGGGAGCCGGAGGAAAGTGGCCGCGGATGAGCAGGCCCTGGGACCCTTAGGTCCAGGGCACTGCCTGGTTTGTGCTGGCCACGGCCTTTTACCCTCCAGGCGGGAGTAGGGCCGGGGCGCCTGCCTGGGCAGGTCCCTCTCCAGCGCCTTCACACCCAGACACCTGGAGACCCCCGCCCCTCCCTCTCGTTTTCCCCACCGTCCCAAAGCTGCAGATCAGGTTTCCCTGTAGAAATGCTACTTGAATGGGTTTGCAGGCAGGTGGTTTTCCCTTGAATAGTTGTGCATTTCTTTCAGTATTTACGAGGAAAAAAGCAGTGCGTGGAACCCACGACTTCACAAACACATTGCTCAGGTCAAGGCTGAGTTTTTAAAAGGGAGTAGGTAGAGCAGTTTCAAGAAGATTGGGAACGTGGCGGCAGAGTCGTGGGGCGGGAACTGCCGCGCGTTGCCCTTCAGCAACAGCCAGGCCCTTTGCCTTGGAGATCGCAGATGGCTTGGCGGGGCGCCGCCTAGGTGGGCCTGTCCTTGTTCCAACGCCCTGACCTTGAGGAACTTGGCTTCCAGCCAGGCCGGTGGCAAGCGGTGTGTGCGGTGGGGGCAGCTGCTTGGACGGGCTCTGGGTGTCTCCTGGGCTGGCGTAGCGACCCTTGGGGCCTGGATGCAGTCGCAAAGGAAGGAGGTCGTGAGTGACACGAGCTCAGTAGCCTGAAAAGCCCTTCTCTCAATAACTGGTGGTGGGTGTGGGGGCGGGTGGTCAGACCCACTTTACACGGAGGAAACCGAGACCCCGAGAGGCAGAGTGGCCGGTCCAGGGTCCTTTAGGGCCCCGGAAGCAAAGAGGCTGCCCACCCCCACCCCGGGGGCCAACGCCTGAGCCCCGGGAACGTGAGGATCGCCTGGGCTCCGGAGGCAGAGCCCGGCCGAGGGCCTCTGGTGGTGCCGTGGAGTGGGGCCGGCATGGCAGTCAGACCTGGGTTTGCCCCGCACCCCGAGTGCTCCCGTCTCCTCACGCCAAAGGGTGGCTGGTGGGCCTCGGTGAGGAGGGGCTCCCTCCCAGGACGGCAGCCTCAGGGTGGGGGCTGAGCTGGGCCCTCCCTCTTGGAGAGCAGGTGGACCTGGGGTCTTGTCACTTTCTGCCCAGGGCGCCCCCACACCTGGTGGGGAGGCTGGGCACGGGTCCGAAGCTGCTTCTTGTGCTGGCCTTCCTTGCTCTGCCGATTGGTTCCCTATGGGGTGCTTATCTGGGGGAGGAGAGGGCCCTTGCAGACCTGTCTGGCTCACACCCTGCCCCCGGCACAGTGGGGGCTCCAGGCAGTTGACGTCATAGGGGAGCAGCGCGTCTGTTAGTCGGTGTGTGTTGGCCTGCATGTTCCTGGAGGACCTCGTGTGCTGGAGCCTGGGAGGAGGGCGGGCAGTGGGGCCTGGGAAGACCATGTGAGGGAAGTTAACTGGGCTCCCCTGGCCGGGTTCAGGGGGACAGCATCTGACATTGGTCAGCAGCTTCTGCTTCCTAGGCCCAGGCACACCCTGATTAATATGCACAGTGGCCCAGAGCACTGTGCACAGACCCAGGAAGTGACTTCCTTGTCATTGGGTTATAGATGGCTGGGCAGAAAACACATGCCCAGGTGGAAGGGACCCGGGTGTGCCTGACATGAAGCCATCCCTTTATCTTGAACCTTGTCGTCCCAAAACGAACAGACACGTGGGGCGGGCCATCTAGGCCAAGGGGCTTAGCTGAGGAAGGGGTGAAGGACAGAGGGCAGGGCTGAGTGGGATGTGTCCAGAGGCGGGCCCAGCTGGGTCCGGAGGAGAGACGCTTGCCTGGGGGGCCATGGGGGGACGAGTCCAGCCCCCGGAGGGCCCCACTGCTCTTCAAGGCCCTGGGCGACACAGGGGGCTGTGATTGGCCGGTGCCAAGACAAGCAGAAATGGAGAGGGCAGGAGAACGGCCCCCCTGCCCTTCCCGATTCCACGGCCTGTCCACCACAAAAGCACAAATGTACCTGAATCCCTCGGGTCTGGCCCTGGAGCGAGTGGGGACCCTGGTGAGGAACGCCCCAAGCTCTCTGCAGGGCTCTGCAGAGTGGGGGCTGGCACCTGCACCGATGGACCTAGGGCCAGCCGGGCTGTGGCCTGCCCCAGCCAAAGCCTCTCCCTGTCGCCTGCCCGTCCCTCTCCTGCACCAGGCGGCACCCAGAAGCCGAAGTGTGCACAGTATCAGCCTGTCTGCCTGTCTTCCCCAGATCTCCAGGGGCGCCTCCGGCCCCCTTTGCTGCGCTGTGTAAGGGCTTGGGGGCTTAGAAGCTGCTGTGTAGCCCAGACACACATACTCTTTTTGTCTTTGTGCAACAATCAGTGTTCCTGGCGGAGCCGGGCGAGGGGGGGCCTGAGGGGGAGGCAGAGGCCTCCTCCTCCGGGAAGCCCTTGGCCTGGCTCTGCCGCTGTGACTACCGCACTCCCAGTCGCTGTACAGTTTCTATGGTGTGAATGAACTTCCCTCCTAGTTGCTGATGGCACTGGTCCCTGCTGGCCCAGATGGCCCGGGCATAGAGAAACCAAGTGGCAGCCGCCACCAGTGTTGTTTTGAATAAAAACCCAGAAGCCTATTTCAGAATTTTGCCGTGTGACTGTGCTGTTTTTTCTGCAGGTGGGTGTTGAACCGGGGGGCTTCCCTGGGGGGGGTTCTCCATCATGCCCAGGCTGGGGGCGTGGGGTGTCTGGGACCTAGAGCAGTGCCCCATGGAAGGGTCCTCTTGTGGAACGGCCACGCCTCATGGTCGGAGTGTGGGTCAACGAATGCTGGGCTGGGGAGGAGGCAGGGCCTGGCTCACACACTCTGGTTTTGTACTGAGATGCTGGACTCGGGTGGAAGGGTCACACAGGAATGATAACCTACTCACCTTGGGCGCTCTTTCTGGAATTCATATTATGCATATTATCAGGACTCTTGGCTGCAAAGAACAAAAACCCAACTCAAAGGAGCTTAAGAATAAAAGAAATGAAGAGCCAGAGAGAGAAAAGGAAAGGAGAGAAGAAAAAAAGAAACGAGAAGGAAATAAGCTAAAGATCCCTGAGGCGGTGTTGGTGTCAGGTGCAGCTGGATCAAGGGCTCCAGCCATCCCTTAGGACACTGCCTCTCCCCACCTCTTGGCCCTGCTTCCTTCTACGTTTGCTCCCCTTCTCCCCTAGTGGCCACCAGAGGCCCAGGCTTCAGGCTGTCCACCTGTCCCCAGGGGAACGAGAGCCCTCCCTGACAGTCTGACAGAGTCCACGGGATCCGCCATGTTCTGATGGGCCAGGCCTGAACTCTGGGGTATGGGGATGGGGGTGGCCCACAGGCACCATGGCTTCGGGAAACGGCTGTGTGCTTGCCGGGAGGAGGGCGTGAATACCGGGCACACAGCAAAACCTGGGGCATCTCGCCATGGGCTGAGTTCCCTGTGGCTTTGTTCTTGGGAAGAGCAGCTCTCCTCCTGCCCTTCTGGGCGAGGCAAGGGCCAGAGCAGTGCAGAGACAGTCACCCGGACTTCGACAGGCTGCTCCAGGTCGCAAGGGGAGGTGGTGCTGGGGTGACCGGTAACCACACCGTGCCCTCCACAGCTGGGGGGCGAGCGCACAGCTCTCCTGCTGTGCCCCCTCCCTGAGAACCGACTGCTTTGTTTTCGTCCCCCTTACCTGTTAATAATGGGGTTAAAAGCAAGTTGCTGTCAAGGAGAGTGACTGACTTAAAAAAGACAAAAAACAAACGACAACAGCAAAAACAAAAACAAAAAACAAACCCAGGAACATTTCAAGAAAATGAAAAATTTCAGCCATCAGTACTTTTTATTTAGACCTGAATTCATGAATTTTAACCAAACAAACACTGGGATGTTAGGTATTAATATATGTGCGGTTATGCAAAGGCATTATTATGGCTGTAATGAAAATTAGATTCTGACTCAGTGGTGGCATTCCAGGAGAGAAGCGTCCTCCTGTTTCCAGTGCTGGGAACTGGATTGCTGTTGCCATGGTAACAGGGCTGTCAAGGGAGTCTGTGGACAAGAGGCTGGTTGGTCCTGTGGGGAGGGGTGGCCGGCAGGGCCAGGCTGGGCTCAGCTCTGCCCCTGGGCCTTACAGGAGATGGGCAAGTCCCCCGTGGGAGGAGGTGGGGGT